ACACATAGGAAAGGATCGTTTAGTGGCCATCCGTCGCCCGGCGTGTCAATTGTCGACTGACGAAACCGAAGGACATCGTGATAATCGCTGCACGTCCAGACGTACTATGCGAACACAATAACATGACACGCAATGCGATGATGCAATAATGTTCTTTAGCTTCATTAAAATATTCTTAAATAACAATATATCAATCTTAATTCTTATCTTAGTATGTACGTTACTAGGTCATAGTCAACCACACTAGTCCAGTGCGGGTTAACTTCACATACGCCTTTGAATTTCTTCTCAGATATGTGCATGTTGCGTCACGATGTTGTCCTTCACCGTCAGAATGTCGAATAAATGTACATATATTTAAATGAAAATCGAAACACACATAGGTACATGGCGGGATTCGAACCTAGCACCTGCAGATTACAAGACAAGTGCTTTAACCCCTGAGCCACGGACGTAATGATAGGATAGAATTACTAAAATGATATTTTATTTTTGCACTGAAATAGCGAAGCGATCGCTAGCCATAGACATCTGTAATTGCAAATAGTAGGCAAATCTATCTTTAAACAACGGAAGAGGATATTCAATCGATTGACAGAAGAGTAGAACATACTGTGTAGTAAAAAGTACAGGGTGATAAAGACTTGTATGTCTTTCCCACAAATTCCTATAGCCGGGCCACTATCAAAGCCATTGTCAATTTATTGATTGAAAAATTACCACGACCAGGAAGCGATGGCACAATCAATAAGCTATCAACAGGAAATTGTCGACGATTGTCACAAACTGTTCAATTATCCGAATTCACAACGGTTTTATAAAAAGACTGTTTGAAAATAGAATTGGTTGTACATCGAAAGAAAAGTTACAATATAAAAATTGAATTAGCTTCTGATTTGCAATTGTGGCAAACGAGCGAACGGTCACCTAAAATCGCTGAAATAGCGAAGCGACCGTTGCCCATAGACTTACGCAATTGCATATGCGTTGCCTACCTTTAATCGACGGAGGAGAGGATGCACAGAAAGAAAATATTTTCCCTTTCCATGCATCATCTCATCCTGAAAGTCCACTTCCATTTCCCATCCTTTCCTTATAAGAAAAAGGGTGGGAAGGGAAAGAGGACTAAATTAGGCCTCCGGGACACACACTCATCAGACGCAATGTGGAATAGCTTCCACTTGACGCCTGTCTTCTGTGTGGTCGTGGTATTACACCGGGCGAGCCGGGACAATTCGTGCGAAGATGTTAAAGCGGACTCTACCAAAAACGACTTGAGACTACGTTTTACATCTGTGCTTTACAATAAGATGTGTTGAACCATTACAGAGTTATTTAAAATCAAACTTATCCCACGGGAATTGTACATATTACCGCGATCATATTCCAAATTAATTATAGGATATTAGCTGTCACCCAGGTTATTAAAAAAAGACTTAAGTAGCCTATGTGTACTTCCAGACTATGTTCTATATGCATGCCAAATTTAATCGAGATCCGACATCCATTCATCTAAACATTCGCATTTATAATATTAGTAAAATATATAATTATGCGTTCAAAATAAACTTCAATGATTCAGATTAACTCCATGATAACACATATAATATACAAATATATATATATACAATATATAATTTAAGTATCTAATAATATTTAACACAATACAGTTTTTTATATAACTAGAATTGTTAAATTTTGTGGTTGTTTTTATATAGCATTCACGGAAGTAATTTAGTTGTCATTAAGGATTAAACGGTGATTACTCAAATCGGTAATAATAAAGGGTGATGACCTTTTACAATTTTGATAATATTGTGTACTTAATAGTATTTAAGTTGAAATATGTACGTAAATTGATGAAATCCATTAATGTCAAGGTCAACAGTGACTGATATATTGTCGTCTCTTTCTTTCTCGTTGACAAAACAGAGATATCTTCTTACTAATCTTATGCGAACGCTTAGATGGATGGATGTTTGTTTGAAGGTATCTGGAATCATTGTAATTTGTCATACATATAAAACATAGTCTAGAAGAACACATATGACACTAATAAAGTTTTTTTTTTATTCCGCGCGGACGGATTCTCAGGCGACAGCTATTTTTACATTAGCTACTTTCCAGACAAAGTCCTGACTAAATCGGTCCAACCATTTCGGAGATTATCCGGAACAAACGCGGCCTTTTGAAAACTTTATTAGCAACTCAACAAAATGCATCAACGGATCTTCAGTCTTTCTTTAGTGTCGTTAAAAATAATAATAATTAACAATTTCTTTTACAAACAGAAAGATTGAAAAGTCATTAATTTTGTTGTCAAGTTCGTTCCCGCCTAAAGTACTTGTAACAATTGTCTATGGTCTTGCGGCATTAACCTTCCTGTTAGTTCAATTAAATAAATGAACGAAAAAACAACAAACTATTATATGATTTCCCAGTGGACGCATCCGTCGACATTTTGTGTTGATTCAGTATTAAATGTTCGCAGAAGTCTAGAGGAAAATGAGTTCAAAATAGTTTTAGCAACACCATGATTACTTTATCCTTGTTATCTTTTTAATATTATAAATGCAAATATTTAGATGGATGGATGTTTGAAGGTAACTCCACAACGGCTCAACGGATCGTGATGAAATTTGGCATAGATGTAGAACATAATCTGGAAGAAAACATAGACTACTAATTTTGTTTTTTTAATTCCGCGCAGGCAACTGCTAGTATTAAAAAATCTCTCAATTGCGAGTTTCCCAAACATATTGTCTCTGTAACATTTAACAATTCATATGACTACTAGGCATGTTATAAACTGAAGGTTAACGAATTAATTTGGCCCACATCTACAAACTTTGATTTTTTTTTATAAAGTAGCTAAACAAAAGCATTTCCCGTTGGTCATCCAACGGGGAAATGCCGCAAGCCTCTTGGGAACCCTACCGTGCGACCGCAGCGATTTGGGGTCGATTTTTTTATATTTTTTAGTTTTATTTTTAGTTTGGTTTAGTTTTAGTATAATATGTAGTTTAAAGTAGCTAAATATAATTAATGAATATAATAATTATACAAGTAGATATAGATTTATTTCTATATTATCTAATCTTTTTAACTCGAAAGATAATAGATAAGATTAGATAAGATAAGATTTTATTCTTCTTTTAATAAGATAAAGATCGAACGATTGGTCAGTTGTTGAAAGTCATCTATGAACTTGAAATGCGGAAACGACTAAAAAAATTGTCACAATGTCTTTTAGAAGCGAGTTAATAATAACAGAGATTGCTTTAACAAAAACATTTTAAACTAGACTAAGTAGATTCTAGATATTATATTAACTAGGCATGTGTCTATACTTTATAATTTATTTAAATTAATTTACACGTATCGTGGCTTGAGCTGATTCGTAAATAGGATAAACAGGAATTTAACTTGCATTTTACCTTCCTTCCTTCCTTCCTTCCTTGTCATCGATTTATACAGGATGTGTTTTGAGATGTAGCTCAAAATGTGCTGTCGATTCATCACCACAAGTAAAAAGTCTGGTCTTTGAATAAAGCCTTGTTTATATTTTAAGGGCATAAATAGTACTTCGTTGCATTTTCAAACATTTGAACAAAGGTACACGTCCATTGGCTCGCGCCGAACGCACCGCACGCATAGCCTGCGTTCATCATCCGTGTCGTCAGCATCGAAAGAGCAAGCAAATCCGTTTAATCCGTGCGTGCTGTGTCTGACGTGAACCAATGGACGCGTACCTCAGAGTATTCGATTGTTTAATTTAATCATGATTCTTATTTTAAAGTCTAAAAGAAAATGATATTTGATAACTTATTTATTCTTGATTGCTGAATGTTTGTTTTGCGACTTAATAGGTTTTAAAAAAATAAACTGGATGACATTTTTAATAATTGTTTATTGAATCTTTTCATAAAAATTGACTAGACAGAGATCAAATATTAATTTACATAATAAAATTACTTAATAATTAACGTAATATACGTTTCTTAACACAAATATTTGCTTGTATTTATTCTATATAATAAGTACTTAGGAATAATCTATTTGGAAACAAAGTCGGGATATGGTTTGCGTGACGCCATTTTTAAAACTCTCATCTTACAAAATAAAATCTTTTAAAAGTTTAACAAATTAAAGAAATAAATTAAAAATATGTTTCAAAATTTAAATAATCTTTTAAGATTTATTATTATAAAACATAAGGTAATATAATCGAGCGTTAATTAAGATTTATTGTGTACATAAAAATAATTATCCCAAAAAGGTGAATAGCTGTCGTAAATATCAGATTCCAGTTTTTTATTTTTCACACTGGATTCATACGAACGTAGTTTAACATGAGGCGGTTTGATTGAATGATAATTTCTAGACGCAACACCGGTAACCGCGTTGTGTTCGACGATTGGCCTAAAACAAAATGGCGGCAATCTGTCAAATAGCAATAGACGAACATTTTCTTCAATTATGTAAAATACATTTTAATAGATAATTACAATAATAATAATATTAGTAAAATTGTTTTAATTTTTAAGAAGTCATTTTGATTGACGCAATTTCGAAGTTTTTACGTGTTAATGACTAGCATTGGAATATCGTAGAGGTTAGTTTTGGCGGGAAAGTCTACCGGCGGCCGAGGCCGGTCCACAGCAGGCCAGGATCGTGGTTGTTGGCTCCTGGGTACTCCTCGCTCTCCACGAACGATCTGCGGTTGTAGGATCTACAGGCAACGATAACAATACTATGTTATGTGTTATACAGAAGCATAGTGAAGCATACAGGAAATCGTAAGTTGTAAAATGTCTTTTTAAACATGTTTTATTGCAAAACATTATAATAATGCTGAGTTTTATAGTATTAGGCGACAAATATGTCGGCTACAAGTTTTAGCTAAATCAACGTAGTAACCATAGACATTTGCAACTAGTTAAAAAGTTAAAACCGTTGACTATTTTTTAGATAGGGGAGGGCACGTACACATAGACAATATCTTTCCTGTACATTGCCCTGCCAAATTTAAGGAAAAACATAGTAATTTACTAACGTAGCGTTAAAAATTTTGCATGTCCTCTGTTTAAAACATTTAGGTTTTAATTTGCTGTTATAGTTCTAACCTGATGTGTCCAGCAGGGCGCAGCGGGCGCAGCGCTTGTAGTCGTCTCATGCCACTCCCGGTACCACTAGCTCCTGTAATGACACCAAGTAAATCTTAGGTAGACATTTAGTACTAGCCTATACCGTCTTTCAACTACAACAAGTGGGTTCGTTGTCAAGCGATACTTTATCTTACTTCTTACTAATATTATAAATGCGAATGTTTATATCTCCTGAACCGCTGAATTGGTCGCGAGGTCGGGGGTTCGAATCCCGCCATTCGACTATTGTCGTAAACCATATGCTAGCCTAGCACAAGCCTAGAGCTGAGTTGGAATGGTAAAATAAATATTAGTAAATTTACCAAAAAAAAAACTCCTAATATTAAAAAAAAAACTAAGATCCAATATTGTTATCCGCGTTTAATCCCACTGACTTATCTCACCCAACCTTTAACATTTCACAAAACACGATCCGCATTCGAGAAACTAAATTATTGTGTTCTGACATTTCGATATTTTATTAAATTTACGTATTCTTTAGCTATTATTCCATGACATTTGTGACCTGTTTTTATTATTTACTTTCAAGTTATTTAAAATGCAAAACACATAAGGAAGACTATTTACCAAGTGCCGATATTAGTCACTAAAGAAAACATTTAGTGAAGTTGTCATAACCGAAAAACTAAGCCTAATAACCGTTGGTTTCGGAGACAAAAATCTCTGTATAAAACATATCGTCATTCCTGTCATTATCTTTGACAAAATAGAGATAACAATTTAAAACGGGGCGTTTCGTCTCAGAAACCCACGATTAATAATAGTGTTGTAAAGTTAATTTGACTAGAATAAAGACGACGGAAATTAAGGATGGAAAAGAGCGGTTGGATATTGATAAACTTTGGAAAATAATATAATAAAGTAAAAAGAGAAACTGAAAATATAAAATAGAATAATAAAATAAGATTAGCACGCACTGTTTGACTGAAGATATAATTACAACTGCTATTTTAAATAGGAACAAAAAATGAAAAAACGTACGTACGTACGTTATGTTCGAAATATAAAAATTATTAGCAAAAAGTATAAAAAGATTCCGTATATGTCGGCAACATGAACAGGAACTTTTTTCTCGAAAAGCCACGACTAGTAAGGTTATATAAAAAATAATATAACGTTTACAGCCTTAACCCTGTTGACCTGTAGAATGAAACAGACCTCATTTAAGATCAAAACACGCGACAAGAGGGAAGCAGGAAAATGTAGTACAAGAGCCTCGTATTATACGTGAGATCATTATCAAAAACATGTAAACAGGAAGACACCTTGGTCAACTGCATATATATAACCAGAGGACCTAGCACGGATATTTGTGAAGAGTGCCATCTTATCTTCATCGTCATATAATTTGTGCATCGCACCTATCGGTCATAAAGTGCAACAAAAATCTCATACTAATTCCGACGCAATTGACGATAAATCTTACTTCTTACTATTATAATATTATAAATATGACTGTTTGGATGTTCGTTGGTTTGAAGACATGTCCAGAACGTTTTAATGGATCGCTGAAATTTGGCATAGACGTGTAACATATTCCGGGAGAACACATAGACCAGTAATTAATTCCGCGCGGTCGGATTCGCAGGCGACAACTAGTCCAGTACATCAAAGATCTTATTTTGACGTAATTGATGATAAATATTACATTTTGTTTTCCGTTAGCTATTGGGATATTTGGATCAATTGAATTTGAACTAATGAAATTAAAAATAACCCGAATGAGAAATGTGGTTCTAGATCGATTATAGACTTTGGGCGTTAACCTATTCTCATAAAAAATTACATTTACGTATCTTGATTAGTACAACAGCAACATTAAAGTAATATCTTGTTGAATAATAACCAAAATATAAACAAGGAACATAAAATACTTGAACAAAAAACAACTGCAAAACTACACACACGATCTGAGTTCAAAAGAGTTTTGCTTGCACCGACATATATTTTATCTGCATCTCATCAAACTGAAGTGTCATGGGATAAAAATCTATAAAAGTGAACACATATCTGATTCACATGCAAATTACTTTGTACAAACAATGAATGTAAATCGATTGACTATTTTTATAAAAAACTGATATATGAACAAACAGACCACTCAACTATTAACTAATAATCCATTTTAAAAGAGGTTGGGAAGCAGATGTTAACTAGATTTGGCCACACACACACGCGTCACACGGCAGACGTAAAAACATTTCCACTTGACGCCTGACTGTTTAGTCGTGGTATTACACCGGTCAAGCAAGTCATTCTCGCAGCTAATTTTTTTTAATAACAGAAGAGGACAAACGAGTAGCGGGAACACCGAGGTGTTCACCGATGCCCATGGACATCAGCAATACCAGAGGAACCGCAGATGCGTTGCCGGCTTTTGAGGTGGTGGGAAGCTAATGTTGCGGACTCTACCACTATTGCTAAAGTACTGTAGATTCTATTGATATTATAAGGTTTTTTTATTATTTGGTGGCAAAAGACCAAGGGGCCACCTGGATTCGCCGAAATAACGATGCGATAGCTCCCTAGCTGTGTTGCCTACCTTTAATCAAAGGAGGAGACGCATAGAAAGAGAGTATTTCCCCTTCCCATGCGTCTCCTCTACCGTCAAATCCACTTCAAAAATAAAGAAGACTAAAATTAGACATCCGGAACACACACTCATCAGCCGAAGTGAAGAATCCGTTCCACTTGGAGCCTGTCTTCTGTGGGATCGTGGTTTATTGCTTAGGTACTACAGACTATTGATATTATAAGAATATTTTAAAATATGTAAGTGAAAATAATATCGACGTTATAAATTATGAATAGTACCGAATATAATTAACATGTCTTACCTGCAGGTATTTGAAGGACGTTCGGTGTCTCGTGGAATGTATTGGAGCGTTGGTGCGACGGTATCGAATTCAAACCGTCCAGATTATCGCGCAGAAAGTCGAAGAAATTGTCCATATCGTTCAACACACCTGTATATAAACATTTTTTGGATAAAAATTAACAATTGTACTCAGAGTCTGTCCTACAGGGCTCCCTGAAAAAGATTTCTAGTAGCGATAACGCCCTCGTCAACTAATTGATAGTTTCTAGGACCAAAATCTCAGTTGAAAACCAATGTTTTATCAAAGGTTACAGGGTCAAGCACTTGACTTGTAGTCTGCTGGTCCTGGGATCGAATCCCGCCATGTACCAATGTGTTTTTCGATTTCCGATTTACATATGTATATTTATCCGACGTTCTTACGGCGAAGGAAAACATCGTGATGCAACCTGCACATATCTGAGAAGAAATTCAAAGATATGTGTGACGTCAACCCTCACTTGGCCAGCGTGGCTAACTATGGCCTAATCACCCTTAACTTAGGGTAGACTCCAAGTAACTTGGTGGGGACTTATAGTGAGCTGATGATGATGAATGACAGGGATTGCGGTATAACTTATACAGAGACATTGGTCTTAGAAACCCATAGTAAACCTTTTATCTATCGATCTTTTGATTGCCTGACTACCAGTCAGTTAAGCTTGTTTGTTATTTAATATCATCAGCTCACTGTACGTCCCCACTGGGAGGCACAGAGCCTACTCTAAGTTAAGCGTGACTAAGCCTAAGTCAACGCTGACACAGTGCGGGTTTGTTGATTAGTTGTTAAACAATATAGTTAAGTCAAAAATGATACAACTAAGTTTTCAAAGATTACAAACATATGTACATAGTTAAAGACCCTTCAATTATAATATGAAAGTTGTTCCGTAGGGATATAAGTTATTTTGTGTAGGGCCTTGTACAATTAAACATTCAATTTGATGTTTGTTTACTTTAATCTTCTATTAAACATCGACCCCAATTCATATCTTATTCTATCAAATTTATTTTGACCTCCGAGAATACAATCATTTAGTATCAAACAAACAGATGTACCAAATCACAATTATATTTTAAACTATTGAACATTCCACATGTATAGACCGACAAGGATATCTTAACCGGTACGCATAAATACAACTAAATTATTCCAGCTCACTAACGCTCTCTTGTCAACCTCAATGAATGTCACTATATCCTTTTTGCACTGTAGTTGTCATTTTTTTTTCTTTTATGTCATTTTCTATGTCTAAGTAGACAGCAACATCATAACTCATGTCCGTAAATCCAGAGGTAGGTAGAGAGGCAGAGATTACGGACCTAAGACAAAGTAGGTTTTATATATTTTTGACAGAACCAATCGCGATAGCAGCGCCTCACCGATTCAGATATCCTCGTTTGACTATCGTAACAGTGATATTAAGTAAAAACCCAGTAATTGGAATGCACTGAATAGCAACGGCAATGGATATCACCGTCTACGGATACCCATACATGACATCAAACCAATGATGAGTAAAGCACGAAAACAATTACATCTCACAAAGAGCTAATGGGTTTTATTAGGTTTGATACCCGACACACAGACATCGATAATTGCATCTGTGTCTGCTTACCAACGCCGACATACGGCGATACGGCCTTACCGAGCGCTGGCGTCGGCTGCCGACGGCGACGACTGCCGTTCCACACCGTCGCGACTGCGGAACGCTTCGCTGTCTCAACACTGGAACAAACAACATCCTATAAGGCAAACAAACAAACAAACAGCTTTAAGGCAACAACAGCACGATGCGAACCGCGTACAGCAAAAGTCAAGCCAACTGCTTGAAGTTCGTCCGTGTCAGTCCGTGAATCCTTATAGATTAGACGATCACCATTTATCTTATTAGATTCATCATCATCGGGTCACTTTACGTCCCCACTGAGTGACTCGGAACGTACCCTAACTTAGGGGTGACTAGGCCATAATCAACCGCGCTGGCCCAGTGCGGGTTGACATCACCCATATCTTTGAATTTCTTCTCAGATATGTTCAGGTTGCTTCACGATGTTTTCTAAATAACAAATAAAAGAAACATTCAACAGCTTTTTGTTTATAAAACCACTTACTTCATATCATCATTATTAACAGTAACTGCATCATCTTGGTTATCGTCAGGATTAGTATCTTCGTTAAGTATGTTGGCACGTTGTAATCGATCTCGGGTAGCTTGGGGCCAATTGAACCATGGTTTATGAGATAAGAAACGAACCAGGTCCATCCCATGCGGCCTGAAGTTACTCTCGGCCATTATAAGAGTTGCTGCTGTAAATAAAATTGACAATAAATTGTAATTATAACATACTAGCTGTCGCCTCCATCTCCGTCAGCGCATAACTTAATTAGTAGCCTATGTTCTACAGACTACGTTCTACATCTATGCAAAATTTCAGCAAGATCTATTCAACCTTTCCTGAGATACTTTCAAACAAACATCCATCCATCAAAACTTTCGCATTTATAATATTAGTTAAATAATTGCACATCTTTATATATATATATATATATATATATATAATTCTTCTGTGAGTGTGTATGTCACTGAACTTCTCTCAAACGACTGGACCGATTTTGATGAAATTTTTTGTGTGTGTTCAAGGGGATCTGGGAATGGTTTAGATTCAAAATTTTGTCCGCTGGACAATGTTTTTTTAATTAATTTTTAATTTATTAGTAGTTGTTGATTTTGGAATGTTTTACATTGGATCCGACAGACGGCGCTGCCATCGCAGTGTCAAATTTTAAATAATATTCGAATTAAAGACGTGTAGACAGGACAACGTCTGTCGGGTCCGCTAGTATACTATAAATAAACACAAATACACTTTGTTAGCGCGTCATTCCTTTCTTATGTTCTATTTGTTACCGTTCCGTTGGAAGATTAATGACTGTCCCATTGTTTTTGTAGACAATATATCTATTGTCGAGAAAGAGTTGCCGCGTGTCGCTTCTAGTTACATGCACTATAAAGTGTATTTTAAAATATTGACATATATTTAATGACAATTCAAAAAGACAAACAACGCAAGAATCTTCGTTTCTCACATCATCTTAATGAAATATACGAATCTATCAAATCAGGTTACAAAGATATAGTTCTTTTGAACTGTCTTTTCGATTATGGAAGGAATGACAATCAATTTAGCATATATTTTTATAACTTTTGCGAGGCGGAACATTTAGGCGGCCATTACCACTCTCAATGTTATTATTTAACAGTGGTAGAGCCCGCTTTCACATCTTCGCACGAATTTTCCCGGCTTGACCGGTGAAATACCACGAACATACAAAAGACAGGCGTGAAAAGGAAGCAATTCCGCGTTTCGTCTGATGAGTGTGCGTCCCAGAAGCCTAATTTAGTCCCCTTTCCCTTCCCACCCTTTTTCTTATAAGGAAAGGATGGGAATTGGAAGTGGACTTTCCGGATGAGAGGGTGCATGGAAAGGGAAGATATTTTCTTTCTGTGCATCCTCTCCTCCGTCGATTAAAGGTAGGCAACGCATATGCAATTGCGTATGCCTATGGGCAACGGTCACTTTTCTATTTCAGCGATTTCAGGTGGCCGCTCGCTCGTTTGCCACCTTATGTTATAAAAAAAATGTAATGTAGGTATGATGTTCAAAAACATTGATTTTTTTTAAGAATCAAATGATATTTTTTTTTTGTTTTGAGTCACAATTAAATAAATTCAGCCTAATACTGTTAAATTTATAAGATAAGATATGACGATTGGTTAAATGAGGTTAGTAGTGTTAGGAAGAAAATCTGACATTGTGCCGTTGTACTGGCGCAACACTATCCTTATAAAAATATCGACGTTTATGTCCTCTCACTAATCAATCTGACACTTGACTTTGTTAAAAGCGCGCCAAATATTTCTAACTAATAATGTCTAAAAAAATTTGTATAGAATGGTTGGTCCTTCCAGAGTATACTTTATTCAACAAAAATCATTTTTAACACATTTAATCCCAATTCTGGCTTATTTACTTCACAAAATGTACAAATTAAAAGACATTCGTTTTAATCTAAAATATCTTATTACCATATAGTCGGAATTAAACTGGTAAAAGCCAATTTGAAAGCAACAAGGGTTATGTAAATGTCATTTGAAGTAGATACTTAAAATAATGTTCTTAAAATTAAACCTTTAAAGAATAGCCAGCGGCTTTAACGCTTTACAGTATCAAAAATTAGGAGAAATTGTTTTAAACTAGCTGTCGCCCGTGACTCAGTCCGCGTGGACTTAAAACAAAAAAAAACTAAATTAGTAACCTATGTGTTCTTCCAGACTCTGATATGTATACTAAATTACACCGAGATCTGTCCAGCTGTGCTGGAGATACATTCAAACATACATCTAAACTTTTGTATTGTAATATATATACGATCTATTTATTAGTGCCTAAAAAATATAAATACTAGGCCTTACTATAAAAATAAAAAAATTAAGCGTCGGTGACTCAGTGGTCTAGCACTTGACTTGCAATCTGCAGGTCCTGGGTTCGAATCCCGCCATGTACCAATGTGTTTTTCAATTTCCGATTTACATATGTACATTTATCCGACGTTCTTACGGTGAAGGAAAACATCGTGATGTAACCTGCACATATCTGAGAAGTAATTCAAAGATATGTGTGAAGTCAACCAACCCGCATTTGGGCAGCGTGGTTGACTATGGCCTAATCACCCTTAACTTAGGGTAGGCTCCGAGCCCCTCGGTGGGGATGTATAGTGAGCTGATGATGACTATAAAATTAGACAATAAATTTTATCTTAACCTTTAAAATAAATCAAGAGAAACAAACCCAAAATATATTGATGTCATTTTTGTAAAACAATACCGTATAATATATTATATTTTTCCTTTTACATGTCCTTCGAATTTTACCCTTTGTCATATGACCGTTGTATTGGATATCAAACCTCAATATATTAGCTCAATTGACGCCACGTCTGCGTTTGTTAACGTACGTTTACATTGTCGAAATACTTGTTTTAAAACATATTGTTATCCCTTACATGCTCCTTGATAAAAAGAGATAGCAATATACTTTCGTATATAAATATGGAGTAGCTAAATATACGGTCAGTTTGTTTAGGGCTTCGATGTTAATAAATGCTAAGTTATCGTTGTAAGTAATTTTAAGTTATAGTTATGCTTAACTTAACATGTTTAACTTATACTCTGTAGATGATAAATTCTTACTTGTTTTAACTTTTTTTTGAATGTTATTTTTTTATGACCGACGGAGGAGGGGATGCACATGAAAAAAATATTTTCCCTTCCCATACATCCTCTCATCCGGAAAGTCCACTTCCACTTCACAACCTTTCCTTATAAGAAAAAGGGTGTGAAGGGAAAGAGGACTAAATTAGGCCTCCGGGAAGCACACTCAGCAGACGAAACGCGGAATAGCTTCCACTTCACGAGTGTCTTCAGTGTGATCGTAGTGCGTCCAGATCCGAGCCAATTCGTGCGAAGATGTTAAAGCAGGCTCTACCAATTTATTGTGTCGAAAAATGACATAATAGTACTTAATTGTTTAATGTCGAAAAGACTATTTCACTGGAACTCTAATCTTGATTGAGCTTAACTATATTTTAAACATAGTCTATGGCCGCCTGATACACGCGAAAATATTATGACATTTTAATAGGTCCAATTGATGTTGAAACCACGGTATTACTGGTTTCTATAATTGGATAAGTCATTGCTTTGAAATAACAGCGTTAGTTTTGTTCCGATTTCAACATGTCTATTGAAGTTCCTCCCTGTTTATTTTATCTCTATTATTAGTTCGACTTTCCGCCACTGTTACCAACCGAAACCGTCAGCGCCAAAATGGCGATAATCAAATACGCACAAAATACCACGGTAATAGCCTATCCATGTTTATAGAGGAGCAGTACACGTCATACTATGAAGCGATGTGTTTACCTTATTGTCATTCCTTTCACTCTCTTTGACTGAAGAGAGACAACAATATGCATAATGCAAGCGATTCGGTAGTGAAAAAACAAGGTCATAATTATGTCGTTATTGCGTTCCATGGGGGATAGACAAAGTGCATTCGCTAGGAAGCGATTTCATAACAAAAATGTATTTAACTGACTCGCGTCCAATGTTATTGTCAGTTCTATACATTTTTGAAGTTCGATATGGTATCGCCTCGTAGCGAATGTATTTGTTTATATAACTAACGCAACTTAATAAAATGATAATGAAATAGTGTCGTTGGCTTAGTCCATTTCTCTATAGTCAAACATGTATTGGTTGTCGTAAGGAAGGGATCTTATTTAATGAAAATCTATCATTAAAAGTTAAGCTTACAACTAAAGTTGTGTTCGAGGCGTTTATTAAAAAGTAAACTTAGTGCACGCAGTAATCTGATATTGAATAAAGCGGATTTAGTTGCCTTGAAACGTTTTCACAATTTTATAACATACTGTATAACATGTATTTTTAGTACATTGTTTCTTTATACAGTATGTCCGAAAAGGACGTATAAATTAATGAAGAGGCAAAATTTTATACCATCCAGATTCAAAGTTGTTCAGTCCGTCCGCGAGATGGCTTTATAAACACTAAAACTGTCTGGAATTCAAAAATAAATAATAAATTCATTCTTAATTTTCTTAAGCTATGCATTTTATCTTCAGCCTCTTGTATTAAACTGTAATAGAATCTATCTAGAAGTAATATTATTTAAATGTATATCTTCATACATTCAGTAGATAAGTGAATTCCCAAGGAAATTGTTGCCTTAACTCTGATGGCTACTTCGTGCTAACCGGAGCTCTTAACTATTTCAATTCAAAGTTCCTGCCTACGCCGTGACAAAGTCAATTCTTGTAACCTATGAGAAGTAACTTTCGATCCTAAGGGGTGTAACTCACAATTTTGAAAGTAAATCTAAGATTTTTTTTTTAATTAATTTTTTATTTTTATTTTTAATTTGGTTTAGTTTTAGTATATAGTTTTTTTTAATATAGTATTAATTAATTCATTTATTTTGTAGTGGTTAGTTATTTAGTAAGATTATATTTTAATTTATAATTAGGTTTAAAATAGAATAATAGAAATATTCAATGTAAGTAATAAATTATGATATATTCTATATTATCGCAAATGTGAATTAATCAAATAAAAAGTTTCTATCCATTAAAATTGATAAATAAATATTTTTCTTCGTTTATGTGAAAAAATTGTTGAAATCGGGTAAAGATTATGTTCTCGGTACGTTTTAAATGTATTTTTTGGCTGGAAAGAAATATTCCTTTGTCTTTTTACGATTAAAAAAAAATTTTTTTTTTCTTTTATGTCATTGTAAAGCAAAAAGAGCGCGAATGTTTGCTAAAATGTATATTTTTGCATAACTTGAATTATTTATTATGTGTATTTACACTGTTCCTGACCCTTGTTTCTTTTAAATTAACTTATTTCAAGCAATTTAATCAGAGAAAATGTTAGAAAAACAAATTTCCTCGACAATGTATACATTGGGACGGAATTCGCGCTTTTTTTTTTTTTTTTTTTGTTTTGTGAGATGCCACACTCGCGTTCCTAACTTGATGGTCAGATCCTTTATTAATCATTTTTTAATACGAATATAACTTTTTTACGTTTTTGATTTTTCCATCTTATTCTTACTAGTTTAATTAACAAGTTAAAATACTGTAAAATTAATATAAATGTTCATTAAAAAAACTATGTAGCAATACAAAAATGAGGACGAATAATTAAAAATGATATAATGAAATAAGGTATACAAAACAACATAAAGGTTATAAAAATAATTTAATAAGAGCCATGACTACGATTATTTTGAATTTAAGTTAATAAAATATAGATAATTATAGACAAAAAGCTCGGCACTATTAATTTTTCGTTTAGTTTCCGAAAACAATATAAGTATTCTTCACTTAAGAGAGATCTAAAAAAAAATTACTCTATATTAAAACGATTACAGAGTACTAAAATGATATACATAGTGTATTTTATGAAAGAAATATATACAGGATGAATTTGTAAAAAAAAGTTGTATACAGGATGTACTTCTTTATTATATCTAAACAGTAGATCGCATTTATGATTTTTTATTGCGTTTGGTTAAATTAGAATTAAATGGATTAAAAATATTGGAAATAAGCAAAAATAGTTCGAGAATGTTGATTTCACTCATAAAAACATAAACATTAAAACTTTAATGCTATAAAACATAATGGGGTACGTTGTGTTTGACATTTTTATAATGAAACAGTTCAAATTTTAATAGCATACAACATTTTATATAATTTTGAAGCTTTTCATTTCTGAAATATTGAATTTAACGTTTTTAATAAAACACAAACTTTATTCGGCCTCCGAAAGAGTGGAGTGGGCCAGGAAATTCCAAAAAAAGAAAAAAAAAATCCGTCACTTAATAGAACTAACAATTTACTAAATAAAATAAACAATTTAAATTTATTATTTATACTTATGTTTAATTATAGCACTATTTTCAACTATTAAAAAATAAAATATGCGATGTTTTGAAAAACTAAAAACAATCTAAAAACTTTTAGCCTCCTTAGTCTCGGATAAAAAGCCTCACTCATCAGTGGTCAACTTGTTAAACTTACTTCTTATCTTACTAATATTATAAATGCGAATATTTAGATGAATGGATGTTTGAAGATATCTCCAGAACGGCTGAACGGAAATCGATAAAATTTGCCACACATATAGAACATATTCTCAAAGAGCACATAGGCTAATTAAGATTTTTTTTAATTCCGCGCGGAGGGAGTCAGGGGCGACAGCTAGTAATTAAATAAATAAAACAGTGACTATAATAGTATAAAATGTAGTCTATTTTGTCATCTGCCATCATTCAACACCTTTATTTACATTGAAATGTTAACAGAATACATAATTAGAAGGAATTAACCTTCCAGAGCCACGTAAACTTTAGATTTATAACTGTCAAGTATCATAATTGTTAATAAAATTATTGTACACTCACTGTCTCCTGTGAATTAAAAAAAAAACTTAATTATTAACCTATGTGTTCTTCCAGGCTATGTTCTAAATCTATGTTGAACTAGCTGTCGCCCGCGCCTCCGTCCGCGTGGATATTTAAAAAAACTTCATTGGTGTACCCACCCATCCATCCATTCACATCACATCCATCTAAACATTCGCATTTATAATATTAGTAAGTTAAATAAAAAGGCACAAAGTAAAAAAAATAGAATAAATAGTATCCTATGTCCGTCTCCTGGCTCTAAGCTACCTCCTCACCAATTTTCAGTCATATCGGTAAAGCCGTTCTTGAGTTATAAATAGTGTAACTAACACGACTTTCTTTTATATAGATATAGATTTCAGCGAGATCCATGCAGATGTTCTGTACATCAATCTCTCTATCCATCCGTCCATCTAAACATTTATAGTGTAAGTATGATGTCATCCTGTCATTATCTTTTTTTTATATCATAAGGTGGCAAACCAGCGAGCGGCCACCTGAAATCGCTGAAATAGCAAAGTGACTGTTGCCTATAGACATCTTTGACGAAATAGACATATAACATGTTTTAAATTTGGGTTTAGATCTCAGAAACCCATGATTAATATCTTATTTAAGAAACCTTAAAAAACATTGTTTACTTAACCGTCATTATTGACTAATCGATTGCCTAATCGTGGCACGGGGCAACTTACCAAAAAGTTTTATCAACTTTTCGACATAACTTTAAGTTAAAACTACTAAAGTATCCGCCAAAAACGTGACAACAGTTTAACGTTTTAATCCAAGGGTGGGTTTTCACTGCCTTTTACATTTATTTAAAAAAAAATTCTCATCGAACTTATTCTCTTGGAAAAACAATATAAACAATAATTTCGCTGCCTAACATCTAATGCAAACAACACACATAAGATTACATGACAGTTTATGTCTTGTAGGTTTTAGGGAAGGGCGGTTGGTTGACCGCCCAGGACAGAAAAGGGCGCCCAAAGACTGTAAAATTAGGGCGCGCCGTCGTAATTTTGGCCACAACGCTGATAGTGATAAAATACACTGTAGGATACAATGTTATATAACTGACAGACATAAGGGAAATTTATATTAACTTCACATAACTGTACATATTTGTATTACACGCTAAAGTATTGCCTGTAGGTTATATAAGGTCAAAATTGTCATGCAAAAACTAACGTGTGTAGACGGCATAACAAAGCCTTGGCACTTAGAATATTGTCTACGAATGAATAGTCTAGCAATTCAAAGGGAGAACGCTGCCAGTATCTTCGGAACCTAAAGGGGCTCCTTTTAATAATATATTTTCATTAATTATTAAGTATATATTTAGGCATTTAAACATAATAATAACAAAAGAAGAAACATGATAAAACACTGAAAACTTTTGCATCTTTCCTTAAAAGCGCCAGTTGAGATTACTGTCAGTTAATTCTATCTGTATACGATCATGTTTCAAATACCAATGCCAGTGACAAACTGGCGATAATCAAATAGGCACAATATACCATGGCATATAGCCTGTCCTAAGCGGCAGAGGTAGAACTTGATAGTACGGAAATCGAAAGGAAGAGACTCAGAGGCCGCCCCATGAGATGGACTGACAAAATAAGCACCATACCCAACACTAAAATACTTAAAGCCATCCACATCGGCGAGAATTAGAACGGAGCCTACTAGAGATGGTCAAGAGGAGAGTTCGCTACCCTCTGGGGTGAAGAAACGATTTGCAGAAAGAGAGTTAATTCTAATAACCTCTAGTTTACGTTACATGTTAAACATTAGTTTGAAGTATAAGTCTAATTGGACCACATCGTCTTGTTGCCTCTAAGGCACGCCAATTAAATTAAAAAACAAAACGTCATATAACTTGTTGCATAAATCTGTATATGAACTTAAAAGTTTGTATGGAGATGCTTTCCTTTGGCAAAATAACTCTATAATTGACATATTTGAATACAAAGAATTAGTAGTAATACCAGTCATCATCATCATCATCAGCTCACTATACGTCCCCACCGAGGAGCTCGGAGCCTACCCTAAGTTAAGGGTGATCAGGCCATAGTCAACCACGCTGGCCATGTGCGGGTTGGTTGACTTCACACATATCTTTGAATTTCTTTTCAGATATGTGCAGGTTGCATCACGATGTTTTCCTTCACCGTAAGAACGTCGGATAAATGTACATATGTATATCGGAAATCGAAAACTATTACAAAAGAAAAAAATAAAATTAATGATAAACAAAAATGCGTATAAAGACGCGTGGGAAGTGATTGATTGATAAAGTATATTAAGAAATGCGTGAAAACTTTCATCATTATTACACCTACGAATTAATTAATTAATAAACACAATTATAATACTGTAATAAATATAATGCAACAAAAAAAAATGAAAACAATTACGATATATAAAGTTACAAGACACTGAAAAGATATTAAAAAGATTTTTCGCACAAAAAATACGAATTAAAACGATAAACTATTTTTTTAAATACTTAAATTATTTTTACAAAAGGTTTTTATTTATAATTTAATATAATCATTTTTAAACGCGCTTATAAACGTCACTGTATTCGGATAAAAAAAAAAAAACATTACGCAGAACGATGCACAATTAAAAAAAAAAACAATAAATTATAATTAGTAACGATTAAAAAACAAAAGCTTAATTCGATTCACAATTTAAAAAAAAAACAATCTAGAATGTTCTTTATGGTAATTTAAATTCAAAAATAGAATCGTAAAAGTTACCTGAGAGCAGGAGTAGCGCGGCTGTGGTCGCCCTCATGTTCCCGCCAGAAGTGCCGTATTCCTGACGTTTACTCGCCTTATAGCAGGCCCGGTTAAGGCGTAGGACGTTTGTCATTCTCCCTCTTACCGTCCACTTTCCCCTTTAAATACATACGAATCTCCAGAGCTTTAGTGAAATTACAAAAGAAAACTTTGAAACTTTCAAGGTTAAGGTTATTAGAAACTTAATTGAAATTATTGCTTAGTTTTCTAATCTGTAATTGAAAAACTTGTATTGCAATAGTTTTATATAACACTAGCGGTCGCTCGCGACTTCGTCCGCACGAAATAAAAAAATAGCCTATGTGACCATACTATGTACAAACATGTGTGCCAAATTCATTCTAAATCCATTGAGTCGATCGGGAGAGACCTTCTAACATCCATCCATCCATCTAAACATTCGCATTTATAATATAAATAGATAGTAAGATGTAAAATAAGAATCGAATTATCTGAATATGGCAGTTAGTTATATTAGTTATCATAAATTCGAAACTTGAAATGGATGTATGGATATTCGTCACTAACAAAACTAATACTATTAAAAAGATCTGGATGAAATTACAGAAATAGACTATGGTCTTCGTATAGCCAACTTAGTGAGCTTTTTATTTGCGCGCGAGAAGTCACGGGCTACATCTAGTCAAATAAAAAAGTAATGGATAATGTTATTAACGTAATTAAACGACAACGAAAGAAAAAAAAAACATAAATGGCCAGTATTTATGAGTGATCATGCTAATTATTAGCGCGAGTGAAATATCACCTGTTGCGGTAACGTTTTTAATAAAAAAATTCCAGTATTTGTTCTTTTAACGCATAACCGTATACGGTGTTATAAATTTTCTTATTCCATTTTAACACTGGCCTGATTTCCGATAAAAAATCAATATGCAACCTTTGATTTAAAAAAAAAATATTGTCTGTACCAACTGACTACTATATGGATAGGCTATAAGCTGTAATATTTTGTGCCTATTTGATTTTTGCAATTTTGACGTTGATGATAGCGGCTGTTAAAAGTTGTGAGGATTCAAACTATTAATAAAGATAGAATTAATTGTCAATAACATCAACGGCCGCGAAATTGGAACGAAGTAAAATTTATAATATAATTTCCAAGCAACAGCATTTGGGATGAATACGAATCAAAAACCACAATGGAATAAACATGCGTACTTAGATAACAAGATACGTATAAACATACGTAAAACATACCTTCTTATTAGTCGGGTGATAGTTTGGGATTAAATGATTATGAACAGAAATTCACGTGGCCTCAATATGGGCAATATTGTATTTTCCTAAGCCATCGGATTACAGGATCTTAAGTATTTTGAAACGGCTCCCCTCGTTAATTACGCGATTTCGTAGTCAATATTCATCGAAATTGGAAATTGCTAATACGTTTATTTTAAGTTATAAAAAGTTTAGCTTTAACCCCCAATATTAAATTTCTCGGAATTTGTACAGCGAATAATAACGTTGGCGATTAATTATTTTAGAAGTTTTTATTTTCACATAAACGAAAAAGTAATGAAATTTAATGACTACAAAGGTAGAGTAAGACCAATGAAAGTATGGATGGATTGTTTGAAAGAGGATATGCGTAAGGAGGTAGATCCAGATATGACCGCTGATAGAGATGTATGGAGGAGTACATACTCTGACGATCCACCGCAGGGATAATGAGAGGTTCTGACGGGATCGCGGACGAAAGCGAAAGCGTGCCCGTGATCCCGTCCCGATGCGTTGGAGGAACAGAGAGGTTTAGTGGGTATGCCTCCGTTATGGAGGAGAATCCCACATAACTACCGCGTCCCCCCCGGGGCGCGGAGTATGCATAAAGCATTCTTCTCTGGAAAAAAAAAGAAAAAAAAGGAATAATGAGAGGCTGATGAAGAGAATTTTTTCATAACTAAGTAGATAAAACGTTATTTTTTTAAACTCTCGAATCAACTTTTTATTACCATAAATCCAAAATACATTAATCTCCCGAAATATTATACTTTATTAAGCATCGTATTTATACGATCAAATCGAATGCAATAACTTCCTTAATTAGTCATTAACCGTGGGTTTTTGAAACCAAAATCTCTATATAGAACATATCGTATTTCGTGTGTATCTTTAACAATCCTGAGATAACAATATATTTTAAACGGAGGTTTGGTCTCCAAATCCACATCATCAGCTCACTATACGTCCCCACCGAGGGGCTCGGAGCCTACCCTAAGTTAAGGGTAATTAGGCCATAGTCAACCACGCTGGCCAAGAGCGGGTTGGTTGACTTCACACATCTCTTTGAATTTTTTCTCAGATATGTGCAGGTTGCATCACGATGTTTTCCTTCACCGTAAGAACGTCGGATAAATGTACATATTTAAATCGGACATCGAAAAACACATTGGTACATGGCGGGATTCGAATCCAGGACCTGCAGATTGCAAGTCAAGTGCTTGACCACTGAGCCACCGACGCTCCGTGTTCCACCCACGGTTACTTATAAAGGGAGACCTTAACATCTCTGAGTGTTGCAGTAAATGTAACACAAAATAACTCTATTGTAAATGTTATTTCATTGAAAGATGAAAGTCACCCTCCTAGTTGCGTATCCCTCTCTTTGATAGCTCTCTATTCTCATGAATTTGATAATTTTAAAACGACAATCTCATGTATTTTTAATGTAAAATACAAAGCTATCGTTCTGAATAATAAGTACAGTCAGCTGAATAAATATATACAATACAATGCTTCAGAAAATTGTATACATATTTAGTTTCAAAAGTACATATATATGTGCTTTTAACCTCTTAATTACACGGACACTTTCATTCATGTATTTACGTGTACGTGAAAAATATCTATGAAACCATAGTTCTATACAAACTGGATATTTACAACTGTATATAATATACACTTATGCAGCTGATTGTACACTATCATATTAAGAGTTTAATATGACTACTACTAATATTGAGAGCGTCAGTGGTTCAGGGGTTTAAGCACTTGACTTGCAATCTGCAGGTCCTGGGTTCGAATCCTACCACGTAGCAATGTGTTATTCGATTTCCGATTTACATATGTACATTTATCCGAAGTTTTTACGGTGAAAGAAAACATCATGATGCAACCTGCACATATCTGAGAAGAAATTCAAAGATATATGTGAAGGCAACCAACCCGCACTTGGCCAGCGTGGTTGACTATTGCCTAATCACCCTTACGGTAGGCTCCGAGCCCCTCGGCGTGGACGTATAGTGAGCTGATGATGAATATTATAAATGCGAAAGTTTAAATAGATGGATATTTGTAAGAAGGTATCTCCAGAACGGCTATGGGGATCTCGCTGAAAGTTGGCATTCATATAGAACATAGTCTGGATGAACACTTAGGCTACTTATTAAGTTTTTTTTTAATTTCACGTGGGTGGAGTCGCGTGCGACCGCGTATAGTATCATTATATTTTTATAAGTACCAAGAAGTACTAGTAATACTTTCATTACACAGTCAAATACATATAGAAACAAGACGTAGTCTTTTACCTGGCCATCTCTTTTAATGTGAAGAGGTTATGTTTACGAGAGGGTCGTAAACGAGAGCTTTTACTATACAAAGCTCTATATTGCGTTATAAATACAGATAGGAATTATGTTCTTATCAATATTATATAATACTCTTATAATAGTATTAGATAGAATAACATTCGTATACATAAGAATACAGTTTTTGAGATCCGACTTCTACGTAATTTTAGGAAGATAATCCGAAACTATGCCGGTGTACTAGCGCAACACTAGCCTTATTAAAATATCAACGTTTATGTCCCCTCACTAATCATTATGACACTTGACTTGGTTGACATTCGCGCCAAATGATTCTAACTAATAATGTCTAAGTCCAAAAAACACAATTTATGCAGTATTTTAATTTATCTTACTTCTTACTTATGGATAGATGTTGGTTAGAAGTTATATCCAGAACGGCTGCATGGATATTGCTATGATTTGACACATTACTAATTGATTTTTTTTAATACAGCGCGAACGTGTTCTTATGTATAATTGTAGAGACAAAAATGTTTTCCTACCTTATGTGTGGGACTCAAACTTTTAGTGACTAACTTGGGACAATATCCCTTGCTGAGTAATTTATAACTAACATTATTTTTAAGGTGACAAAATACGTCTAGTTAAAGTACACCCACGCATAAAAATTATAATTAGAAATATAATAAGTTCACTCGTTTGCTTAGAACTAAAATAATTCTACAAACTTTGTTACTCACGATTAGACTAATTTGAAAAATAATAGTTTGAAGTTACAAAGAATGGTTTAACGGTGCTCTGCTTAATATAAGACACGAGTAAAAAAGAAAATTAAACCGTTCAAGATTTTGAATTTCAAGGCATTGTCTTAAATCTCCATCTAACGCAAGCATCTACGACAATGTGTCACAATATTCATTTTACTTTTACTAATATTATAAATGCGATTGTTCGGATGGATGGATGTTTGTTAGAAGGTATCTCCAGAACGGCGCCTTGGATTTCTAAGAATTTTGGCATAGATGTAGAACATAGTCTGGAAGAACACAAAAGGTACTAACTACGACACAGTCACGGGCGACAGCTATAGTGTTTTAAGAATTGTTAAAACTTGTTATAATTCATGTTCGTTAAGCTCTTTGATATTAGAACAGATAATTAATTTTAATTAATTGTATTTCACACCAAAACACAATTAAATTTTCATATACAAACCATAACGATGTGAAATTATTAATTATATATAACAATAATTAATTTATTCATCAAATAGTAAGAGTTAATTAAATGTGACACTTGTCTCTTGAATTGCGATTTATTTAAACAAAACCCACTTAAACTACGCAAATCTTTGGGTTTAGGTTGCGAACAGCTAAAGGTTCTATCATCGTATCTAATCTGCCTTTCGAAAACTAGTAGCGTCGTAGTGTGGGGCGCAGAAGGGCGACTGCCCAGGGCGCCGGGCATAAGTAGGCACTGCAGGCGCCAAAGTTGGATAAGATACCCTTTAAGATCTATCTTTAGAAGATTTACGCAACACCAAAAAAGAGGGCGCGTCAAAAATCTCGCCCAAAGCAATAGAAATCCTAAAACTGGCCCTGAAACTAAATACTATATTTGTAATTCTAACTTTACGTTTCCATTAGCGAAACGCTAATAAATAAATTCCAGCTTGATACCATCACGTGTTCCTGAGAAAAAGGTCTTGACAGACAGACGGACTGTCAACAAAGTGATCCTATAAGGGTACGGAACCCTAAAAACAATCTTATTCTCGTTGAAAAAAAACCAACAGAGATATCAAAGCATAAAACTTAACATTTAATCATGTTCATTTTATTTTTATCAATAATATAATCAATAAGTACTAAGTAAACAATCAGTCTTATAAACTAGTTAAGAGTTTCTCCTTGATTGTTTCGAGTCAATAATTGATAGGGATTCGTTTTAATCAGTCGATGTACGATCCATTACAGGTACGACCCACGCATATATAGGTCATTGTTGAATACTGGTAGAAGTTCAATAAAATAAAAATTTAAATTAAAATATATAGTTAAAACGAGTATATCTTTCAACCAGCTACCAAAAAAACAGATAATATAAGATGTAGACGACATTAAACGTTAACTCGGCTTAGACTATGGACTAATTACTACCCAGTGACCACTTAAAGACGACTTAATATGTAAAATCGGAACGATAGGACTACTCAATTAAGCATAAATCCATCCGAAGTGTTGTAAATTTAAGGTCTAGATTCGAATGTAATAAATCTAAACAAAAATTTTATGTAAAGATGCAAGAAAAGAGTCTTATAAAAACATTGCATTTACATGTTCTTAAATTTTTTTTAAACCTTGTGGAGCTCCTGTACAGTTTTAAATGTTTTTATATCATGAAACGATAATTGCTCATTTGATTTTAACAGGCACCTGTTAATTTTGTTAAGTCTGCGAATCCTATTAAAATTGTAGGTGCGATCCCACCGAAATAAGATCTCTTGTAAACAACCAATTATAGAAGTCGTAAAAACTCCTAAAAACGTAAAATACAGATAAAATATTAAAATACCGAGAAAAAAGTAATAAGGCTTGATAACGCACACAATTTCGCAAATATATGTTCGTTCAATTAAGGAAATCATACAAAAACTTTGTCATCATATTGTTTAAAAAAATATTCAACACATCGTATACTAAAAAAAGTTATAACTTCATTAATTAAAATTATAAATTGCTTAAAGAAATTAAATTTAATCCAATTTTAAAGTGAACTATGTTTGATATGGAAATTGAATATGGAATTTTCATTTCCTTTTAGTATTCCTTTATCTATGCTTTCATTTTATGTAGCTATAATATTTTAAATTGCGTTGGTCTTTTAGTTATATAACTAAAGATTTATTGCAAATACGAAGTAATGTAATCTCTCGTTCGAACTTTCAAAAACAGAAATTAATCGATTAACCAAAACAATAAAGATTAACTAAAGCAGTTTTAAATAAGTTTAATTTGTTTTCTTTGTATGGTTTCAAGGCTTGTTTACGATAATTAATTCTAGATGGCGCTGAAAAATACCTAAAAAATCTGTCTATTGCAAATAACAGTTGCAGCTACAAGATGGCGTTAGTCGTTTTGAAATGAGAACTTTGGAGTCTATTTGCTTTAAAATTATTTGAGTTTGTTTAATTTCATACCAAATTTTTTTAAATATATTATAGCTATTTTAAATACAGAGTTCACATTTTATCGAATATCAGATAAACTAGGTTTGTTAGCCAATATCTCCAAAAAATGTATGATCCATGAAATTATTCTGCATTTATTGCTATTCAGTTCAAAAGAATGAGCGACACAGTAAAATATCTTTTTATATTATTTTAGAAGTTATATTTATTAAATAAAAAATTTTATTTAATATAAAATTTATTTATTTCCACATTATACTAATTTATAAAAGTAAAAAATCCATATTACTACTTATAAATTATTAATTTATAAATGCAAGAGCCAAATATTGACTAGAGAATTGTATTCAAGCATTTTATTAAAAAAAAAAACATAAAAAGGTTTTAATTTCAATCATAGTGATAAAATTATTTTTTAATAGGTCCTTTACACCTACAACAAAGTTGGTTCGCTTTATCTTTTTTAAAATGTAAATTAAATTCATGTTTAAATATTTTTCTATACATTGATTCTTTCACAGGAACTAAATCTTTGTTACACTGGTTATAATATAATGTATACATTTGTTTTATACTTAAATTAGCTTCTAAATATTGTTTCTTTCTTGAAAATTGTTTAACCGGTTTCCCGTCAACTGTAGTAAAGGACATTATATGGTTACGAACTCTATCTTTAATTTCCGAAGGTAAAGAATGTGCACTTGCTTCCGATAAACCTCTACCATCAGGTTTTGGTAAATTCATATCACTTTTACTGGAATGTACATTATATACTCGTTTTTGTGATATAGCTAATGTTCCTAAATAAAAATCTTTACATACTGTATATCTAACACCTCTAACTAAAAAGAAATATTTAAAATAATACTTTCTTTTAGTATCTTCAGACTTACTATGTTTAACGTTATTCCTTTCAGTTGTGTTAAGTAGAAAATGTTTCTTTTCGTTAGTATTCAATGAATAAAATGCTTTAAATAAATGTTGTCTGTCAACATCATTGATTCTTTCGTTGCATTTAAATTTACAAGATTTGAGGCAGTCTTTTGTGGTTTTAACACATCTCTCCGGTACATATTTCCCTCTTCTACTGATGTAAGCTTCACCTTTTTCATGTTTTAATTTGCGCACATTACAGGCCCATTTACTAGGATTTGGGACTGAGCTACGTGATCTTTTCTTAACGGAAACCTCCTTATGTGGTTGACTACTTTCATTGTGCCTGGAATGTACAAAAAAAATAAGAAATTATATAGACAGGACAATTCACAATTTAACATGTAACAAATGTCAGTTTTCACTAGAAATATCAAAATAATCCTGTCTAAAAATTAGAATAAATATGTATAGAGATTTTAGCACTGGAAATTCAACATTTTCTGCAGCTTAAATATTATAAATGTGTAAGTTTAGATGGATGGATGGGTGTTAGAAGGTATCTCAGAAACAGCTCAACCAATTTCGACTAAATTTGGCACAGATGTAGAACATAGTCTGGAAGAACACATAGTCTACTAATTAAATTTTACTAAATAAATCTATATAATACATACTCAATTTGCTTCTCATTTATAATTGGCACTTCAACCTCAACTTTAGTGATGACACAGTTTTGATCCTTAATATATGCTTCATACTGGCCATAAAACGATTGTTGAACACCATTGGTAATTACATGTTGTTTGAACATTGGCACTTGTGGTAGTATAACATGAGAAGTTATTTGCATAGAGTTCATGTCATTTTGTATTATCTGTGGCTGTAATTGCTGCATGCCTTGTAAATGTATTTGTTGACACGACATCATCGTTTGATTCTGCAGGATCTGGTGATTCGTTATCTCATGTTGGACTGACGAAACCGGTATATGCAAGGACTCTGATGTTATTGTTTGTTGATATGTCACCTTTCCCTGTGCCGTTTGCAGCGATGGATGGATAGATACAGACGGATATACTTGAACTATGTGAGGTAGATTCGTAGCGGCCTGAATTTGATCCATTAATGCGGAAATCGCGAAAATAAACAACCAAAATTCGCAAGATAAATTAGTAATTAAATTCTTCCAGAAATCCGGAACTATTTAATTAAAATACATAACAAAGGCGAAGTTATATTCAATGGTTAAATGTAGAAAATTTATACTCTTTTTAATCAATAGATTTATTAGTTTTTACGAAAAACTCAATAATATGCCACAGTTCCAACTCGAAACAAAACAAAGCAACAAACATGGCCGCATCTTTATTTGACAGTTTTGGTTGTCAACCAAAGAGTATACAACAATACTCCATTATTTCAATAAATTTTTATGTTTCCACTTATTTTAAGTCTCTACTATTTTTTGATAAACGGAATATTAGTTTATTTGGAGACAAAAAGAAACCGTATTTAATGGAAACCTAATGTGATGTTGTCAAAGTTTGTAATCTAAATAGGAAAATAATTAACCAATTAAGTAGTTAAGAATCAATAAATTGTAACGGTAAAATATGAGATATCTTTTCAAACCAAAGAATATAAATTATTGTCCAATTGCAACCAGTTGGTATACATCAGTTACAATTTACAGGTAAAAGAAATAAAACAAGAACTTAAAGGTATATAAAACATTTATTATATGGTAGTAAAATATTCGATATAGTCAACAATACTAAAAGTTATTTGCTTAAAAATAAATATATATATATATATATATTTGGCCTCTTTAAAATTGTAAATTAAATGCTAGCCTCTTTATTTGTACTTTTAAAACCTTTGTATGCTAAAAATAAACATTCATAATTTTCATGTCCTCTTAAAAAAACTAAGGTAAATATCACAAAAAAAATAACAACCAATTGTAATCACCAATTATATCACTACTAAATCGGTTTTTAACCGTATTTCGAATAATTTTTAACATTATAAAAATAATAATTTGATATGGTAACTTATAAACGTCAAATATTGCACATGCGTTAAAATTTTAAAAATTGTCTTTGGTATATGATAAAAAAATTATTGAGTTTTATCTTGGAACTTATTCTCTAAGAAATTGTATACGTAATCGTATACGACTAACATGATAGCTCCACCTGGACCCAGCCGGAGCACCTTTGGCAGCAGGCCTTTGTACAGAGCGCGAAATCTAAAATTAAAAAAAAAACTCTTGATTATAATTTATTCATAATTATAAGGGCTTAAAAGCCCGGGTCGATCGGTACTACTTCTAGTAAACATATTGAGTTATTGAGTCGAATCTCCAATAAGACAAACTTCGAAATCATAGCATATGCTAAAGCAAAATAGATGTTTAATTCCTTCGTGTCCTTTTCCGATATTTAGTCCGAAGATCGTCATGTACAGATCAATAATTGTGATCCATTTGTGACCGGTTAATTCTTGACTCTTGAATTTTAAAGTTTCATTGAGCTTAGGCTGCGGCACTTAGCGTAAACCTCATTTTAAAGTAATAAGGCTAGCTGATGCCTGCTCTTGATGGTAAGATGATTAACCATGGTGATTAATGATCACCCACATTGCAGTGACCAGTTAACCTCCAAGTTGTAATAACTACCATTCACAACATTGCTCATGTCTGTCACTATGGTTACAAATAGATTTGGCTATTGTTATGCAATATAGAAACAACCATATTACATTTTATCTATGGTTAACGAAGAACTTTACTACGAGTAAAAAAATTAGCAATGTAAAAAAAAATGTTTTCTAAAAGTATATACGACAATGGAAACACACAATGGAAATATGGAAAAATATGGAAGTAGATAAATTCTTTGCCCACATTAGAACAAGATGTTATACAAAAGCTGATAGAAGGGGACACACATAGAATGCACATAATGCTAGGATTTTTATATTCTTGGTTATACTATACCTAAACTGAATGACACATAAGTGGAGACAGTCTTATATTTTTTAATTTTTCATAATAAAAAGTTAACTGCTATTTATATGGTGTCTTTGGTGTGTTTTTTTTAGTAAATCTTGTTAACAAATTATACCTTCGAAAAAAAGATGTGCAACTACTTAAGTCATTAACCTCTTGACCTTTTGAGTTAAATAATATTTAAACATTCTGTTCTCTTATCAATATTAATGCGTCTGATAATAGAAATAAATAGAGGACGATAAGGGATCGCTAGATGAATAACATATGTTTGTTTAAATTATCTTGTTTAACTACTTATCTACATATGTAATGTTAGGAAGAAAATCCGTTAAGGAGCCTATGTATTGACTCAACACTAGCCTTACTAAAATATCGATGTTTATGTCCCCTCACTATTCATTCTGACACTGGACTTTGTTTTCTTTAATTCCGCGCGGACGGAGTCATATAGTCTACGAATAATCAATTGAACAATCATAATCGATGTAAACATGCGTTCCACGCGTGATTTTGTGCACAATACCTCTGTGTAAGAGTTAATTTTGTACTTTCTGCATAAAGCGGTCCAGCCGTGGAATACTTGGATCAGCTCCAGACAGATATTTGCAGTACTGAAGCAGTTTCCGAGAATATCGAATCAGCGATTGTATTGAAAAACATTGTGCCTAAATATTTTATACATATTTCTGTTTAAAGATGTGACTAAACATTATTTTCCTCGTATAAAGACTTGATTTAATTAATGATATATGTTTCTTATCTTTCTCGACAAGTTTGTTTTCTAGGTTAGTTAGTCTAGTGATCACTTTAGTATTGTTGTAAGATGATAATGGTCTAAACGAGCAAAACCAAATCCCCTTTTCGAAGCGTAAAGGACACTTATTATACTCGTAACTTTGTTAAAAAGAAGTTTCAATTTTTAGATTTTAAGATGTACATATGAGTAGCATATTTGTGCAAAAGATTTAAAACTCATCGAGAGATTTTACGATAATTTAAAGAAGTGATTCGACTAGAAATAGTAAACAGCTAACTAGTCTATTTATACAGAATGGCAGTTTACGCAAAAGCAATTACAATGTTGCAATCTCACGAGATTAGTAAACCAGTTATTTTGTAACAACTCTATCTATACTTCAAATATCGGTCAACTAACTGTTGGTCTGAGATCAATATCTTCGTACATCATACATATCGCCATCCCTGTTATCTTTGATAAAACATAGAAAACAATATATTTTTAACGGTAATTTTGGTCTCGGAACCTCACAGTTAATAATCATATTTATCTAAAGGAACGTACCCATACTACGTGACCCGTTTAGGGGGGGGGGGGGTCTTTAAAATATTATACTACGGTCAGTCACAGGAGCGGGGGGGTGGCTCAGGTTTTAATCACGTAGTCATTGGTTGTCATTTTTCATAATACATAATTCACTAGTTATTTAAGTATGCAGTCTTATGCAATAAAGACGAGTATGAGTCATTTTTTTCATGTTTGTAAAATGATTAAAATTTATAATGATAAATTACTACGTAAAAACTAAAGGCGGGGGGGGGGAGTCTTGGCATGTACTACGAGTGCTCACCGAGGGAAGGAAGGGGTCGAAAAAACTAAAAAAATAGGTCACGTAGTATGGGTATGTTCCCTAACGTGTAGTCTCCGACAAAATATACCTAAAGTGATAATTTTCATCAAAATCAAACTTAAAATAAGCCAAAATAAACGAAATTTTGGCATAAAGCCCGATAAAATGAGAACTGTTTGTTTATACGTTAAATTATCGGAAAGTTCATGATCAAAGTAATTACTTTCCAAAGCGGCGTTGAATCTTGACGTCATTATTACATACTAGCTGTCGCCCGAGACTCCGTCCGTGCCGAATTAAAAAAAAACTTAATTTTTAGCCTATGTGTTCTTTCAGAGTATATTCTACATGTGTGCCAAAGGAGACACTTTCAAATAAATATCCATCCATTCAAACATTCGCATTTATAATATTAGTAAGAAGTGAGATTAATAAGTTTTTAAATTTTAACAATAAATATTTCAATTGAATGATGAATGAAGACATAATTAGACAAAGAGATATGTAACAAATCTGGTCATAATTATCACCACCCTTTATTTGTTGACAGCTGGATATAGGCCTTTCGTCGTACCTTCCTTCAAGGTCATCACATAAATATTTATAAAACCAACGGAATTACAAAACCATTCCAGAACAAGTTGCGAAACTCTTTTGAAAATATGTTTATCGTCAGCAGAGTCAATCAAATTCAATCAAAAATAAAAAAAAAAGTCATTGATCAGATTACAGATAAAGATAATGACATTATCTACTGTCAATTACTTGTCAAGATTAGACAATTGTCAAATCGTGAGGGGGTCATCTTATCTAGCAAATCTAATAATAAACATGATGGGCAATCTAATTTGTATTATAAGATTTATTGGTTGAAATTTAAAGTTAGCGGATCGCGTATATTCTTAGAGTGTCATGTATATTTTTAAGGGGTCGCGTATATTTTTATGGGGCCGTTAAAAATTTAAAGAATTTCGATGACCTTGTCTCTTTTTTCTAAGTAGTTAAGTGATCGCTCAGAGACAATTACGTCGTGCAGAAGGTCGCTAAACTTTAACATACTTTGGGGGTCGTTATTTGAAAAAGGAAGAAAAACAACAATTTTATTATATAAAAACATATTGATGTAGTTGTACTTACCCTTCTTCTCTATAAACCAGATTAATTGTGCCAACAGTGGAATTATATTTGACAATGCCAGGGCTGGGCTGTGGACCTTGTATACGACTCTTGGCCACGTCAAATGGTATGTTAACACATGACCCCAACACTCCAGATGTAAAACCAATTGCTATCTTACGACTGAACTCTAAAAGAGGATCCTGTGGGCAGATACAATTGTTATTCAATATCTATCTATCTCTATATATATATATATAAAAGAAAGTCGTGTTAGTTACAATATTTATAACTCAAGAACGGCTTTACCAATATGCCTGAAAATTGGTGAGGAGGTAGCTTAGAGCCTGGAGACGGACATAGGATACTATTTATTAATTTTTTTCGAATTTATCCCTTGAAGAGCTGCTTTTAATTTAACTTATCTATATATTAAGTTTTTTTTATATATCGACGCGGACGGAGTCGCGGGCTAGCTAGTTCTTAATAATACAATTTACAAAGTTTTATATTATATTTAATCTGTCATTAAGAGGTATTTTTTTGAATCGATAATTTAATAAAGCTAATATATAGAAATGAAAGGATGTTTGAGACATATTTAGCTTCAAACAAAAGCATATTTATGTAAAATTGTATTTAGTAAACAATCAAACAACTTCAAAAATAACATATTTTGCAAGAACACAAGAGTTTTATCTGTTTACTGATGATAAGAAGCTGTTAGAGCAAATATCAGTTTTTTAACATCTTGCAACTGATAGTATATCAAAAGTAAACAAGATATAGTATATTGAAACATAAAATAACAACTGAATAGTTAGCAATAGTGAAGAAAATCAAGTAACTTTAAATTATATTGAGAATCTGAATAACCATTCTTAACACTTTCAATGCTTCTAATTTGTCTTATGATTTTTAGTATAAAAAAAATTAAGAGCATGGAATGTGTTAAAAACATTTTTTTTATATAACTAACAGCATATTTGAATTAATACTGAAATTATTATTTTTTATTGCAATATTAAAGCATCTTTTCTTCTCTGTCCATTTGGATTAAAAAAAAAACTTAATTAGAATCCTATGTGTTCTTTCAGAATATGTTCTATATGTATTCCAAATCACAGAAAGATCCGTGCAGTTGTTCGGGGGATACCTTGTGACAAACATCAAAACTTTCTCATTTATAATAATTAAAAAAATTTCATTTCACGCGACGAAAAAAAATAATTAGTTCCCGGCAATTATTCAAATTTTTCTCTCCGTTAAAACTATTCTGAACTTCAACGAACATTTCAAAAAAAGAATTAGCCAAATTGGTATAAGCGTTGTTGAGTTATGCGCTTACCAACACATATTGCTATTCATTTTTATATTACAGATTAATAATATTTTATTATTAATGTAATACAATATTTATTATTACCTCATATTCTGGGATATATCCTTTGACACTGTGATAGAAACCAAAATAAACCATATTGAAGATTCCATTTCTAGCCATAGTTGCTGTCAAACCTTTATTCAGTCCTTTTGATCCTAACCCATTTTCTCGTACAATCTGTCTTGTTACTGACCAAGTACTAGGCACTTGGGTAGCTAACGATTTGTTTGATTGCAACGTCACCTTTACAACTTCGAAAGGGTTAACTAAAATGGCTTCCGTAATACCTGCACCTAAACCAGCTAAGGAAAATGTCTGAAATGATAAATTAGTATAAATTACTGTGATTTTAAGTGGAATTAATTTATTAAAAAAAGCTTTGTGTATTGTTTATTATAAAAGATTGAAAAGAAATACATAAAATTTAAATAAAAAATTATATTGAAAAAAATAATAGAAAATAAATATGAATAATATATTTACGTGTAGTAATAATAGTAATAAAATTATATGGAAATATAAAATATAAATACACAAATATAAAAGAAATAAAATCTCACTAATGGTGTGGGTGTGCTGGAGCCAAACATGAAAAACCTTTTGTATTGCTCAAAAGTTGCAAACTTAACAGCCCGCTTTGGTGTCTCCGCCAATATAGGTGGCAAGATTCCTTTCCAAAATGATGTCAATCCTTCATATTTATACATTTTCTTCATACAGTCTACAATGCCATTGTAGTAGTGTGGATCGGAACTTTTTAAAGCTGAACTGGAAGATTGTAGCTGGAATCTCGTTTTTACTAAATCTAGAGGATGCATTATACAGACTTCTACAAAGCCCGCACTTCCACCAGCACCGATTTGCATAGCAGCTTGCTTTAATAGTCTTTCAACGTCGCTCATTTTTCTAACTAGTTCGTATACAAACTGGACAAAGTACGAGTGTATGATCTCTGCAAAAGTTGGCGCAATACTGAAGGTTACTTATCTCTAATCTAAAATGCTACCCATTCTATTTATCAATATTATAAAAATAACATTTCCCCTTCATGTTCATGTTTGACATGTTTTTGACATAGAATTTTGACAACTGATAACAAAATACAGTGTATAAAGATACGTTTGCTTTAAAATGTTTCAAAATATAAATAAAAGAGAAGTTCCATCGCTGTTTCAACACACTTAGATGAGTTTATTATAAAACGACTAAGAAAAGCTTGACTATACAAAATCGGTAAATTCACCAATATCTCTACTACTCTTTTTCGTGAAATGTGCAAATGTTGCAAAAAAAATCAGTTTTGCAGTAAATCTTTTTGCAGTTTTAAATGGCAATATCGACTGGTGGTGATAGACGTCACTTGTCAAAGGAACTTGTCAAAGAATGAAAGTGTTGTTTCGTAGATCATGTCGTTTTCATATGTTAGGAAATGAAATTCTAGAAATTGTCGGTTCATAATTTTAATTTTTTGCGTAATTTAACAGTGTAAATATTAAAAGTTATCAGATCGTTATATAAAATGTATAATTACTGATTAACAGATGTCAATAAAGACTGTTTTCGTATGTGCATTTTCATACAAAATGGCAGGAGAGACGAGAAATTTGCATTTTGATATAAGCTGATGTGAAATGTGAATAAGTGATACAGACTTTGTTGTGTGAGTGGCGAGTGTTTTAATTGCAGAAATGTGGACATAGTGTTTACGATGGGTTCGCAAACGCTGGAAATTTTGCGTCAAGGTGTTTGGGCATCTTTGACAGGTGGCTGGTTTTACGATCCCCACCAGAATTTGTTCTGCAATACAGTGCATTTGTATATATGGCTATTCTTATTATGTCTCCCATTTTCTGTTTACCTGGTAAGTGATAACGACTTATATATTATATACGGTAGGTTATAAAATGATGTCATAACAAAATCAGGTCACGATTTTTTTACTTGTTATTGTTTGATTGTCGACTGGAGAACATGGCATTGAATGGTCATTGGCCTCTGTATGTCCTTTTAGTTTAAAACAACAACAACCTCATTAGCTTTAGCTATATAACATCATAATTTTTTTTGTTTATGTATGCTTTAAGGAAAAATACTTAAATTTATAAAGATATTACAAAATTCTGAATCCGGAAACTTTCCAGTCTATTATGAATCATATAAAATGAGTCAGCATTTAGGTAAAAAATAAGTGAAAATATTCTTTTTAACTAGCATGATGCCTACATTATGCCAGTACAGTACAACAGTGGCAAACAAAATCAGCACTGGCATACAACTGGCACCAGTGAGCCAAACCAGTACATGCCAGCCATTGCTACTGTCTTACTGTATTGACATAAACATAAGTAATGTGATACTTTATCTAGACCAGCATCACATTGGGAATAAACATTCAAACATTAATATTAATTTGTACACAATACATACAATAAATAAAACTAGCTGTAAGTTGTGACAACATCCAGGGAGATTTAAAAAAAAAACTTAATTAGTTACCTATGCATACTTCCAGATTGTTCTACATCTATGCCAAATTTCATTGAGATCCATCCAAGTCCTTCTGGATATACTTTCTAACATCCATCCACACAACCAAACATTCCCCTATTAATAATATTAGTCAGATAATCTTTTCTTGTCATAATCTTGTATTAATAGGTCAATAATTCCAACAACTTTCAACAATTTGTGGTCTATCTAAATACATTATGTTCTTTCAGTACTTCCCCCCAGCAAGTGTAGGCTGGATAATCTACTGTGCCCTTGTCGCCCTGCTGTTCACATGCCTCAAGCTGCTGAACCATGGCCTTCACCACATGTATGATACAAAGGAATGCATTGTGGTACAACCAACTGGAGATCCAGCTAACCCTTATGCTGGATCAACGTAAGTAGTAATTTTGACATAAATAATTGTGTTTTAACTTAAAACTGTTATTTATTAATTTTAAACTCAAAACATATAAATTTATTGCATGCAGTATAATAATTGTTAAAAACACAGGAAAGAGTACACAAAAAGAGAATATTTTCCCTACCAATGCTTCCTCCTCCATTACACCCCTTCTCATCCTTTTTTATAAGAAAATGGTGGGAATAGAAAGGGGATAAAATTAGGTCTCTTTCATGCAGCATTTTTTTGTTACAGGCAAGAAGAAGGAATGGAGATGATGCGGCTAGGTGTTGCATTGGGCAGTGCTTTAGAGAATGATAATGAGTCTGCCACATCATTGGAGTATCATAAGCCTAATAATAGTACCATAGGTAATAGGATTTTATCATTTTATTTTAACTTCTATGTAACCTCTTCAGTATTAACATTATATTTATTGTTTACAGATCTTAAGGTTGATGTCCATCGTAAAAACAGTTCAGAGTCCAGTATGGAAGATAGTGCTATGTCATTGAAACCACCCGAAGCCGTTGCAACAACTAAATCTGATCTCTGCGTCACACAAACTACAGAGACACCCGGACCATCGAAAGCAAGACCTAACAATAGAATTCGATGCGCTCACAAAAGAGAAAACAGAACAAAAACAAGGAGAACACATGCTAATAGAATTGATGAACTTATAGTTGAAGAAGCATCTAGAAATCAAATGTATGTCAATAATCATCCTGTACATGTGTTGTCTGAAGACGGAACATTCGCTAAAGTCAGTCGAAGGTATCACGAATGTCCCCATCGCCGCTGCGCTAAGAGCAGAGATTTCTTTAAAGAGTGGTTGTACTTGGATACCAGAGAGAATGGAGATCCTTATAATCAGCATGTAGTTCGCCAGCTCAGCTCCGATTCCAGAGACAATTCGGAGCCGAGCGTTGGACCTCCTTCGCCCAAGAAAAGGACAGCACATCGCCGGAGATATAACAATTACCCAGATGAGAGTTGTAGCAAATCTGCCATGGCTCTCGCGACGCAACCGAGTAATATGAGGCGAAATTCAAATTCCACCATGTCAACCATACAGTTACCCCTTCTCAATTCAACAGCACAATTGGTTTCCCACATGAGAAGACATTCGAATAATGCAGACACAGGGTTTTTTGCTAGTGTTGAACTCGGTGAATACATGATGGTAAAAGCGGAACCTCCAGCATGTGAAGCTGAAAAAAATAAAGGCAAAAGCCCAGGAGTGAGACGTATCAAAAGCGCGGCTTTGGAAATAGGATGCCCTCCCCCTAGTGTTTCGAACTTATCTCCCCATCCTAACAGTGCTGAAACTATCGGCGGTCAAGTCTTAAAGAACCCTAAAAATGCTGTGATACCTCCTCCTAGTAAAAGTTTAACTCGTGGCCCACATTTGAATCTTTACCCTAAAAATGAATCAGGCGAAGGTTGTAGTTACCCATACTTGACGTACGGTTCAGAGATCGTTTATCCAATAGCAGAAATATCAGATGAGATGCAAACATCACAGAAAGAGACGGATTTAGATTCGAGTGGTGACAGTTACAGTGATTATGAGGATGAGAAACAGTTCCGTGGTTTCGATTGGGACGCGGAGCAATCTCCCGCCGTGCGCTCCAGTGACTCCGACTACGAGAACAATGGCTCGCGGTCTCCCTTGCTGGACCGAGCGGCTGACGTGCGGATAGTTCGCTCTAAACACCACGGCGACGGCAAAAAACCCTGCTGCGATAGACATTCCAACACAAAACATAACGCAGAATGTCCAAACGATAAAATGAAACATGTAAGACTGAAAAAGCTTTCTAAAAACTATAATTTCGAGAATAAACGTCCCGAAAAACAAACCTGTGAATGTAAATATAACCCGAGCGGCGATTACTTCGATAAAGCCAGCGCTAGTTCTAAAGATTTGCTTATAGAGAAATCCAGTTTAGAATCCAACGACAATCCCGAACAAGATAAGAAACCTGAAGATAAGAAAGTTACGGAGAAGAAACTTTGGGACCACGATATATCTAATTCTAGCAGTAGTAGTGATAATAATTTAGACAAGCTTCGAGTTGACAATAAATATGACAAAAACGCGGCGCCGGAGACCGAGGAGTCACAATTGACTTGCGACAGCAAAAGCGCGGACGAAAGGAGCGTCTACAGTTTAGATTGGCTGTTTGAGGAGACGCCGGAGTCTACGCTGGTCTGTTGCAAAGATGTCGCAGCGTGTGCCGTCCAAGGGGACACTCAGAAATGTCCCGGCGCGCTAGGGGAATCATCCTCCAACGTCCCAAGAAACTTGGGAGCTATACCAAAGCAGATTAAAAATTTAGCTCGGTCGCGGGCTTCGTCTCAGAAAGAAAATAAGAAAAGAGACTCAAGGAAAGAGAGGGAAGATAATCAAAATGAAGATCGTATTCTGCTGGACGCAGTGGAGGCGCAAGCGGCACTCGTACAGGGACTGGAGTGTTTGTTCGCTGCGACTAATGCGAACACAGTGGTGATGCCCGCGCCCAGCAGGGATGATAGATCAAGAAGTCACCGTCAAAGTATACGAGGGGAGAGGGAAAGTTCCAACAAAACTAGGAAACGATCCATCGAGGAAGTCGCACAGACATCCACTAATACATTACTACCTACGTCAATGCCATTGTTGGCGGCTTTTCTTAATTCGAGGGTGGATTTCATACCCTGCTGTGCCAACGAAAATGCACCCGCGGAGCAGGTGCAGTACTCCGAGGAAGGTCAAAGACTCAGGCCTTTGATGGATCGCAATCATAGAAACAGGGTTAGGAAAATTAAACGTTCCACTCGGCAGCGAAACAACCCCGCGTTGCAAAGTAGCGAGAAAAAGGACAAGCCACCGTCTACAGAAAATCCTAACAGTTCAACTAATGTTCATTTCGCGACTTCATTTGACGATACAAGCGACGGTGCTATTCACAAGTTTATGGACGAGTACGGCAACTGGATGTCGTATACATTTGATAAGAACAGCGTGGGGAGAACGCAGGTGCAGCCCGTCACCGGACCCGACAAGGAAGATAACGCCAAATGTAACAGAGTTAAACCGACCGAAATACCTGATAACTGTCAGGAAACAAACGGGGAGGGAAGCTGTGGCTCTCTGGAATCAGAGGCGGGAAACAGTGAAAGTATAAGTAAAACGAAGCGAGGGGACAGCATAGACTCTTCAAATCAAGGCAGCAATAATCCGCTGCTTTCCAGTAATAATAACGTTTCAACAGTAGTTCCTATTAATACGAATCCTACTAACAAACGATTCTACGTGTTCGATGGTGGCACCGGCAGCGACCAGCCGCGCTCGCCAGTTGCCTACGTCACAGACAGTCTACTGGAACAGATCGAGGCGGAGCGCCAGTCGCGCATGGGCCTTCCAAGTATGCATATCAACTTCCTCATGAGCCAGCAACGCGCCAACCAGCAGGCGCAGCAGCAGCCCGACACCACATCGGCTAATGCGCCCAGTCTCATGCCTTCCATCGGTGAGGAAACAGTAGATCTAAACATTAGGAATAAGTTCTCCAAACTCATGGACGAGATCGAGAAAGCGAATCAACCGAAACCAAAGAGTTACTATAAATTTAAATTATCGAAGTGCCTCGAAATTAAAATAACGATGGATAGGTTAAAATTGTTGGCACTATTCGATAGAAATTTAACATTTAGGGAAACTTTCGTGTCGATAATGTTGGCGATCAGTGTCGCCGTGCTCGGCTCCATGGTGTTGAACCTCGGCTTCTACAAGGATATCTACGCGTTCTGGTTTTGTTTCATAATGGCGGGCAGTCAGTACTCCCTGCTGAAAAGCGTGCAGCCCGACTCCGCCTCACCGGTGCACGGATTCAACAAAATGGTCGTATTTTCTCGACCCGTTTACTTTTGCATATGCACCGTAATTTTGTGCGGCGTGCACACTCAACTCGAACAAATGACAGTACCCGCAGATGAGAATTTCAGAAGTAGACGCAGTATCGATGAAATAAAACCGTTAACAGTCTACGGATTTGAATTCAACGAGCGTGATTTTTTATACGTCATCCAGGAGATTATTTCAAAGTTTTTACTGTTTTTTCCTTTGGCCTTCAGTTTGGGTCTTTTTCCTCAAGTAAACACGTTCCTAATGTACTTGCTGGAACAAATAGACATGCACGTATTTGGGGGCAATGCTACCAGTAGTTTAAGTGCCGCGTTGTACTGCGTGGTGCGCTCTCTGGCGGCAGTGGGAGTGCTCTACGGGTTCGCATACAGCGGTCTCATAGAGGGAAAGAAATCGCAGCACCAAAAGCATAATATACTCTTTTCAATTTTCTGTGGCCTGCTCGTCCCCATCGCGTATCACTTGAGCCGGAGTGCCAGTGATTACACTCTGATATGGAATCTTATAAAGAAGCACCTCCTCCCGCCGGAGCTCTACGTCATCCAGAACCCTGATTGTGCTCCCGAATTGGAAAAGACTGAACCCAATCCATTGAGTGAAGATAAAAAGAACGATTCAGAGAGTAATATCTCGAAGCAGAACTCCATAGGTAGTTCCGCTTCGAAGATTAACTTTAGCTCGGAGACGAACATAGCCAAGTCGCAGAAGAGATCGCAGGCGTCTAGTGTTAGCTCACTGAAGATGGATCCTAAAGGAGACATGAATTCAACCAACTCTCTTAAACTCGATCCTCCGACGGAGATTGAAGATAAAAGCAGGGATACCAATACAAATAATTCTACAACAAATAAGCAAGACATGCCTGATAAGACAGATGAAGATATGGAAGATCCGCTGCCGAAGAAACTGCAAGCCACGGTGAATGCGAGGCTAAAGAATGACGTCATTGTGTGCACTTTTCTCGGGCTATGTGTGTTCGGCCTGCATTGTACCACGGTGTTCACGACGCTGCGACCTCAACTGAACACGGTGAGGCACCTCTTCTAATTTTAGTACTTAGTAATAACCTGTGTTAGGGGTGATAAGGATACTTCATTTCACCCAGTGCAGGTTGCCTTGTTTTCCTTATCTCTGAGAAGGTCGGATGTACGTATGAATTTGGGACGTACCGTGACGTGTAAATTATTAGTTATGTGGTCTACTGCGCCACAGTTCTCTTTAGGGTTGTCGACTCATTTATATTGTAATCTGCAGGTGTTGTGGATAATAGCGGGCTCGCTTGGCTGGGCGTTGCACTATGTGACGCCGCAGCTGCGCAAGCAGCAGCCCTGGCTGTGTCTCGCGGGGCCCGTGCTGCGTCAGCATGAGCACGCGCAGTTTGAAGTCACCGAGCCGGCCAGGCTTATGATATTTGAAAAGGTTAACTATCTTCTACTCCTTCTGGATATTTTTTACTAGCTAAGATATGCATTGATTAACTTCATATTGCCTTATGGATTTCTTCTTTTAGTCATCATGACTAGACATCAAATTTAAAAAAAAAAACGGAAAATTATAAAAATTACGATATGTTGGTTTCTGAAAACTAATCGTATGACAAAACAGTATGCTTAAAACAGGGATTTTCGTCTCAGAAACCAACAATTTTAACCAATTATTTTGTAAAAAAAAATGTTAAACATAGTGTTATGCGATATAAAATATTTAACCAGAAATAATTTGCAATTTTTAATGTAATTTGCAGTTTGTCTATTAAGGGTTTGGACATTAGGGTTGGCCTTGGTTAACTAACCTTAAGATTTATAACCTCTAATATTCTGGAATGTTCCAGATCTTCGTGTACCTTTGTTTCCTGGAGCGCAACGTGCTGTACCCCGCCGTGGTGATAGCAGCCACCACACAAGACGCGCCCGCCATTGCGGATAAATACGGCGACACACTCGGCGCACTTATCATATGCGTCTGCGCATTGAAATGTAAGTCTCACTCAAATCATCATCATCATCATCAGCTCACTATACGTCTCCACTGAGGGGCTCTGAGTCTACCCTAAGTCAGGATTGACTAGGCCATAGTCATTGCTCATTTCGGGTTGACTTTACAAATATCACGATGTTTTCTTTTACCGAAAGTAAGACAGATAAATGTACATATCGAAAATATCTGAGTCACCGACATAGCCAAAATATTTGGGCGTATAAGGCAGCTGATTAATTCTGAATAATTCTAGGTCTTCGTAACGCATATTCTGAACCGGAGTCTCAGTACCTGATCGTGGTGTTCGCGGTGCTCGTCTTCCAGCTGGACCTTGCCAGCCGTGATGTCTCTGAGACCTTCCTAGTAGACTATTTCCTCATGGCCATTATATTCAATAAAGTCTACGAGTTTTTACTTAAGGTAAGGTTAATGATTGATTTATTATTATGAGTATTTACTAAGTTTCCCTTGTCCTGATGTTTGTCATCAAATTTTGCAAATTAAAAACCCACTTCCTGGTTACTGGTCGAGTCGAAATTTTGCATGGATTTATAAATCTCGTCACAATGCAATATCATGATGACATGGTGCTGATCTGATGATGGAACTAGAAGGTAGTCATAGGAACTTCGCAAATAAATAACAGAAGCTTATCAAGTTTGGGCTTGTTTTATATTTTCTGACAAATAGTTTGTCTTTTAATAAAGCAGAACATGAAGTAGATGTTTTTTTTTTTAATATTTATAAAACAATATTGTTTAAATGCTTATTTTAGTTAGTTTTGATGTCGATGTTAGGTGCAATTTGTGGTGACGTACATAGCGCCATGGCAGATAACATGGGGCAGCGCATTCCATGCGTTTGCGCAGCCGTTCTCAGTGCCGCACGCCGCCATGTTGTTCCTGCAGGCCGCGCTCTCCGCACTGCTCTCCTCACCGCTCACTCCTGCATTGGGTAATACATACATTTCATCAAATATTTACTAATATTATAAATGTGAAAGTAACTCTGTCTGTTTGTTTGTATGTCCTTCTTTCATGTAAAAAGTACTGAACCGATTTAAATGAAATTTGGTACGCATATAGTCTAGAGCCTAGGGAAGACCATAGGCTACTTTTTAACGTGCAAAAGGGGTTGTAAGGGGTTGGAAATTTGTATGGAAGTATCGTAATATTTACAGATAGAAGCTTAAAATTTATTTTTTAAGGCTGTTAACTTGATTTAAATAAATATGACAATTAATGTTTGTAAAAATGTTATACTAAAGGGTGCAAAATAACAATAGTGAATAGGGGATGAAAGTTTGTATTAGAATATATGAAGTTTATGTGAAAGTTTTGTGATTTTAATATGTTTCGTCATTATGTAAGTAAAATTAGTAGCCTAAATAAATAAAATGCTACCCTAAGACAGAATTTCACGCGGACGAAGTCGCGGGCACAGCTAGTTTGTGTATAAATGTAATCAAATATGCAGCTCTGGATAGTGCGTGAGTCGTAGAATACAATGCTAGGTGTAGTGTAAACGGATTGAAGAAGGCACTGCACGTCAGATGACCTTGAGCCGATAAGCGTTCTTATATCACTCACAGTAAAGTTCAAATCTTGTGATAGCAATACGATAAAATATAGGTCTTATATTTTATGTTGTACGATATTCAATTGTAAGTGGTAACCGAATATAATTCTTTGACTACAAACAAATTATAACTCCCAATTCCTTTGATAAAACAAAAATAATGTTTCAGATGTTTTGACAGTGGTTTTTTTAACGTAACTATTGCTTGTTTCCAGGTAGCGCTATATTTATGACGTCATACGTGCGACCTGTCAAGTTTTGGGAGCGAGATTACAATACGAAGAGAGTGGACCAAAGTAATACACGGCTCTCTTCACAATTAGAAAGGAATTTAGGAGCAGGTCAGTGCTAACATCACAACCTAAGATATGTCTATATACAACAAAACTAATTATATATATATATATATATATATATATATATATATATAAATATATATATATATATATATAATATAGCATGCATAGCATAGCCAATGTAGCATTCGTTGTGCTATATTTGGCTCGTTTACGTACCGACACGTGTTGCCGGCTCAAAGGTCTGACATCGACTGACGTCCCCTCTCTCCGGCATGTACTTATGACGTGTACGCTCGAGACAAACAACACTACGTTTATGCATACACTACATCCCTTCCTTTTTTTAATATATTTAATCTTGCCAAGTATAGGTACTTGTATTCTAAAACTATCAATTAATAGAATACAAGTATACATACACTTCGATTTTCTAAGTTTCTCTACACTTCTACATGTATATCCATTTTGTAAGTTTAATTAACTTAAATTCAATAACAATAAATATAAATTCACTTAATAATTATTTTCACAACAACTGCATAGATATTTGTTACCATCCTATACTTATCTTCCATGTTTCCATTATGTCTTCCTTCTATATGCTCTACTTCCTTCCATTTGTTATTTAGAACGCTCCAGTGTCCCTCAATTCTTTTTAAATAAACTTATTTTCGTCTTGACATATATCGCCATCAATACCTGTCGGCATCTCTACGGTATGGGAAGCAGGATTTTAATTGACGTTTACTTTGTTATCTTTGTGTAAATTATCAATGTCGAAGCCAAATATTTTGCTAAAAAGATATGTTTAATAATTAACAGTACTTAAAAGTACTTAACAGTTTGAATGTATCCTAGGCGTGATAATTTACGCTAGTAGTAACAATAAAATTTTACTCTCTACTATGAATGTTATACACTGTAGACACAGTACTAGTTGGTTGGAACACCAAAAGATGTAACTGATTGTGTGACCATTTAACTTGTTTACTTTTTAATTTTCAGATGTAACTGTGCCCGCGACTTCGCTCGTACGAAATACTGACTTGGATAGCATTTCAATCACTTAGGCTAATCACTTAATATTATTACGTTTTATACTGAAACATATTAAACCCACAAAAACTCGCACAAACTTCACATATTCCAATACATCAAAATCAGTCCATGACAATGGTCCCAGGCTCCCGTCCATCAATGTACCAAACCTAAGGTCAGATAGACAGACAGATGAAGGCACCCTCGCATCAATAAGAATGTTCTATCCCTATATTATGGAATAGTCAATGATAATTTTCTTTTCTAATACATAACCTGAAAATGACTAACTTACTATGTTAACAATTTAATGTTTCTTCTCCTTCATAGATGTTACATTTTCTATTGAATGAAGGTTTCAAAAGTCAAGACTTATACCTTTTTTATATTTAATTACCAAATTTATTTCCCAGCTTATTTGAGATCTTTCAACCCACAACACAGAGTCACTAACGGTATTTAATTATGTTGAACTTTATATTTAACTTGATGGACGATATTTAAATGCCACTATAAGTTTTCAATTTATCAGATGTTCAACTATATCTATATGTAACAATGAATTGCTAATGACTACTCTGAACATAGTAAAAGTATTTTTCAATATAAGCGTAACATAAATAAACATAAAGAGACAAACTCTTTGTCCCTTCTTTTCACAGGTCAGCAAATGAACTTGTCATTGCCGTTTATTCTCTAATGTTATTTACAATCAAACAGATAGCTATTTCTGTATGAAAATAGTTAAGTTACTTGTAGAACTAAGGGATAGCATTTTATTCCACAATCGTTTTTTATTCAGCTTATAATAATCCAAATGGAATGCCATTTAAAAGTAAAATTATATATCATGTCAACAAGATCTCTTTGATTTTAAACACACTTTTAGGCGGTGTGCTAAAGTCGTTTAAATAAGTCGATAGTGCGATTTTGGTTCAATATTTCATAAATCGGTATTTCTACTCCCTAAATTGAGTTTAAAGCCGTTAAAACTTAATTTAAGTTGACTCACCAATTTTTTGCGGGTTATTGATAACAAAATCCAGCTTCAACATACCCCGACTGCGACTAGTGTGTCCTCAGCGAGGAGTTGCCTTAACAGCGACTTTTACAATGAATTCCTCCATGACTTGGTCCAATAATTATGCTATAAATAAAGCTATTTCAGAAAGAAAACATTAACCTTTATTTATTCTATTTTACGGCAACTGTAGTATGTCATTATCAAAGAAAAACACTTTTCCGCTCTTATTTTTACCAAATTAGAGCAATAAAATCAATTTCAGATGTATTTTAAATACAGAGTCATCTATCGCCGGAAGCGGAACTACTTATCTGTTTCACAATTATTGAATCGAAATTCGTTTAGTGCACAGTACATCACGAGATTTGAACTTACATATACTCGTAGTTAATAGTATCTCTGGAAACTTCACCAATCCAGCATTAGCCACGGATTCGTAAATAAAGCCAATTATGATGACTTTAGTAACTGGCAATATAATATTAGAAATTGCGTTATACATATTGTAAATATTCATAACAAAACGTGACTAATAGTCAATCACATTTTATATCATTTTGTACTACGTATTTTGTAGTAAGGTGCTTATAACAGGGTTAAAAGAATTACTTCTCAAAAAGACAAAGGAATAGTCACTTACTTGAAAACAATATCGTACAATGTACATAATATAGTCGCCATTGATTTGACTTAAATTTACTTTACTTTTTTACAAAAATCTAAAATGTATTCAGCTAGCTTAGATTTAACTTGATTAACTGAACTTACATTTATAAAGATGACAGTAACAACTTATGAAGCTGTACTCCTTCGTATGTTATACATATATCTCTTTCCACTCACTTTCGGCACAACAATTAGACTTGCTCGCCGAGTGCTGCGTTTATTAATCTGTAACTTTACAAACGACATGTTATTGATGATTTGTTTTGTTGATGGTTTTTCTAATTATAAAACATGTACTGTAGGCATATAGTTGATTAATAGTCATTATTTTGATTTTATTGTAGATAATGTATTTCCTCTCACCTTAATTTAGATACCTCTCACCTTAATTTAGTTAACAGTTTGCCTCACACAAATTTTAGCTTCAAACTTCTTACCACTCGTAATATCAATTTATCGATCAGGGTTTCAATCTTCTTAATTTATGTACTTGACAACTTTTCAGGCCTATATATATATATATTCTCTTGGAAGACTATAATAGTAATTACACAAATCGTCTTAATTAAATAACGCGAGCTATAAAAACCGCCAAATCTTTGTGTTCCCGACGTAAATAAAAAAATAATGACAGCTCACTAGCGCCACCCTTTTATTTTTATAAGGGGGAATTTGTTACGCATACCGGGTGCCTCGGGGAAAGCCACTCTAGTTATGTGGGACTCTCTCTACATCCCTAAAGGGACTACCCACTAAACCCCCTCTGGTTCTCTCGACTCACTGTTTACCGGGGTGTGGGCACATGCAACTCTTCGCACACACCGGTCGGTGACTGGTTTTGAGCCTCCACACTACTATAAAGTCTTTGCACGCGGGAACCCTGCGCGCCCTCTCTATCTCTTACTGGGTGGGGACCTCCCCTCATCCCTCACCCGAGACAGTCTACTAGCGCCATCAACGTCAAAAATGTCACAAAATCTTTTTCGAACTGTTGCTGTCTTGTAGTTTTTTCTTTTACGCCATTTATATGTACATGTAGATTTTATATATTTTCCGAACGAATCGCGACAGTAGCGCCTCTCACCGGCTCTAATTGTTTGACTATATATCATTTTCTTTAACTTTGTACAGATGATAATAACCTGAATTCAATATTCTACGAGCACCTGACGCGGTCTCTGCAGCACTATCTCTGCGGGGACCTGATGCTGGGTCGCTGGGGACAGGTGCAGCAGGGAGACTGCTTTGGTAACTGCTACATCTTCTACTAGACATAAATATCTAGGCAGCCGTCAAGTGCATTTGGCCTAATTTTTGTCTTCATTCCCTTTATACTTCTTAAAAGGAAGGAGAGTTGAATTTTGCAAAAGAGGGGATGTAAACGAAAGGGAAATATTCTCTTTTTGTGCATCTCCTCCATCGATTAAAGGAGGGCAACGCACATGTAATTGCAGATGTTTATGGGCAGCGTTCGCTTCGCTATTTCGGCGAATTAATGTGGCTGTTTGCTATATTATAAATAAAAAAATTATTCGCTTGTTCCAGTACTGGCTTCCGACTACTTGAACTGCCTAGTGCATATAGTAGAAGTGGGCAACGGGCTGGTCTCCTTCCAGCTGCGAGGACTAGAGTTCAGAGGCACTTACTGCCAGCAGAGAGAGGTGGAGGCCATCTCTGAAGGACCAGAGGAGAGTAGCGGTGAGTACCCTCCATATAAATACAAAATTAATGTAAAGTTTTATTTTAATGTTCTAACTGTAGATGGCGCTGTTTACGATAAAGTCGAAGCACATTATTTCGAACAAATTTATTAGCTGTTGTGAACCATTGTTATTGCGGTTAGTTTCTTCACGCACCTGTTTGACATTAATTTTATACACCAATTTTTGGTGTTCTTTAGTTTGATTTTGTCTTTTAGGTCCAGATATGTCTGTTTCACGATTTTCGCTAATACATGTAAATATATACCAAAAATACACGACTAAATTAGTAATTCAGGAGTAAGAGATTTAGAAGTACAACTCTCTTACTTTAACTAAAAAAAGGCATTTGTAAATAATACTGCCATCTATTGTCGAATAAATGAAATAATTTTATATACAGCGCCATCTATCTTCCTAATATGAATGCAAATGTTTGGATGGATGGATGTTATGTATCTCAAGAAAGACTGTAAGGATCTCGATGACATAATCTGGAAGAACGCATAGTCTACTTAAGGAAGGAGTCGTGGGCGATAGCTAGTTATCAAATAAATGAGAGTTTTAAATATTTTGGTGTGTAGAGGGCGTGTGCGCGCGGTGGTGGTGCGGCGGACGCGTGCTGGCTCCGGGCGCGTGCTGGGCGCTGCGCTGGCTGGCGTGGCAGCTGGCGGCGGCGCGCTACGTGCTCGAGGGGTACTCCGTCAGCGACAACAGCGCTGTCTCCATGCTGCAGGTCTTTGACTTCCGGAAAGTTCTACTCACATATTATGTCAAGGTAATATTTTACGTTTCTAATTGTTAATTAAATTGTAGGTAATGTCAAAGGCAATTTCCCTCATTTAGAGATTCAGTGACGCTTGTTTGTGTGTTTATTTCTTGTTTTTAATATTTTTTAAGTTGTTTTATATATTTTTTGTTGAATTTATAGCTAACATTTCTTAGTTTATAGTAATTTTTTAAATTGTACTAAATAAAAATCCATAATAGCAGTGTATATGTTTAATTTTGAACACATCTTGTTTCCAGAGTATAATCTACTACACGATACAATCCAGTAAGCTGGAAGAGTGGCTGGCTTCACCCACTATAGCAGAAGCCCTCAAACCTATGAGTGAGAGGTCATTTGTAGACCTGGACCCCATATTCAATGTCAATTTGGATGAGGACTATGATTTTAGAGCTTCAGGAATTACTAGGTAAAGTTATATAATTTATCGCATTTTTTGCTGGTTTTGTGCAAGAAAAAATTAATTATATGTTTTTTATGAATTTGGACAAAAAGTATTTGTCAGAAGTGGGATTCGAACCCACGCCCACAGAAGTGGACTGCGACCTGAACGCAGCGCCTTAGACCGCTCGGCCATCCTGACTTGTGTTGTTGAAATGAAAATGTCATAAAGTTACAACGACTAATTCAAAAAATATATAGAGTAATTAAATTAATGTTTTACTTTCTAAAATATGTAATTATTATGAAAATTGCCTATTAACTTCAAAATAATTTCATTTATATTAAATATTTGTGGAAAAGATGTATTTAGAAGCCTGTTTCTATGATTTTTTTTCTTTTTTCCCCTGCAAATTTTTGAATTGGTGTCCATATTTAAAATCTTCTTTATAAATATAACAAGTGTATGTTATATGTGTTGCAGGAGTCGTTTCTGTGCGGTGTACCAGGAGTGGGTGGTGGTGTGCAGCGCGCGGCGCGGTGCGGCGTGGCGGCGGCGAGCTGGCGCCCGCGACTCCCCGCTCGTCACACTCTGCTTCGCGCTCAGCCTGCTCGGCCGCCGCGCCCTCGCCGCCGCTCAGCACCTCTCCGCCTCCAGGTCATCATCACAAACACCTCGTACAATTACATATAATAAGATTTATACTTTATGTCGCCTCACCCACTGCTAGTAACTATATGAGGGTGTCAGATTGCCTCAATTCGTAGAGAAAAGTGCGCGATTTCCCCGTATCCCTTTACTTCACTCTAAAAGCTGAAGATGTTTAAGTTCGCATTGTCTCGTGTAATGTTCGAGCCGCTATAAAGTTTGAATAGTTTTATACCGATGCAAAAGTTTCTCTAGTAAGATGTTAAGGTATTTTAAGAAGTTCAACGTTTGTTTATATAATGTACTGCAACATGTTTCGTATGTAATGTCAGCAGCGTGGAGTTCTTCCTGTACGGGCTGCACGCGCTGTTCAAGGGCGACTTCCGTATCACGTGCGCGCGCGACGAGTGGGTGTTCACCGACATGGCGCTGCTGCAGGCTGTGCTCGCGCCCGCTGTGCGCATGGCGCTCAAGCTACACCAGGTACACTGCCCACTGGACCACTGCCCACCGCCCACTGGCCCACTCTGTCCACTTATCACCAAAGCCAAGGGTTGATTTCGATTCATTTTTGATTAAACAATTTTGAATTCTTTCTATATATTCTTATAGAAATTAACCCATCTGAAGATCGTAATAGTATATTTTATGTTTTACTATATTTTTGTGTACAGGACCACTTTATGTTCCCCGAGGAGTACTGCAGTGCAGCGGCACTGTACGCGGCCATATCATCGCACGCGCAGCGCCTCGTCATCTGCCACGAGGCCGCGCCCGCCTGGCGCTACAACGTGCTGCGCGGCGCACCCCACCTGCTCGCACTCCGGTACTAACTCTCACCCCCCTACACACCCCTAAACTCCACACTATACACACGCAACCCCCAGAGTCGATAAAAATGCTGATAAAAGCCCACTAATACGTTAAGTAATGTGGTTATGTTACAGTCATGTGATGGACGAAGGTAACGATGACTACAAGATAATAATGCTGAACAAGCGCTTCCTCGGCTTCCGCGTCATCAAGCTGAACCGCGAGTGCGTGCGCGGACTGTGGGCAGGACAGCAGCAGGAGCTCGTTTACCTTCGCAACCGTAACCCTGAGCGCGGCTCCATACAGAACGCTAAACAGGTACCCTCCCACTGCTCACTACGATTCTACTGCCCCATACTGCGACCCCCCCCCCCTGTCAACACTTTGACCCCCACTGTCAATACTATGACCTCCGACTGTCAATAATGTGACCCCCCACTGTCCATTGTCTATTAACCATATAAAATGTTCGTCGTTTTATATTAATACTAGCTCTGTCACCCGCGATTCCATTCACGAGGAATAAAAAAAAAGTACTTAATACTGCGAACTCCCTCCCCACGAACTTCATAGTGCGTCCCTCCATCGCTATATCGTGAAACTATTTGTTTAATTGTATGTATGTATGTATGTTTCCAGGCGCTGCGCAACATAATAAACTCTTCGTGCGACCAGCCGATCGGGTATCCGATCTACGTATCCCCGCTGACGACGTCGTATGCGGACAGCTCGCCGCAGCTTCGCGCACTGCTCGGCGGACCTGTCTCCGTCGCCGGACTCAGGCGTCGCCTCGCCGACCTCTGGACACGGTACACCCACACTGACATATATAACCCAACACTGTAATCTACCATCATCAGCTCACTGAGGGTCTCACAGCCTACCCTAAGGGAGTGACTAGGCCATAGTCAACCACGCTGACCCACTACGGGTTGACTTCATACATATCTTTGAATTTCTCTTCAGAAACGTGCAGGTTGCA